CAACTTTAACAACTTGTGCATAATGTGTGACAATAAATCTAAAACTCAGACTATCAAACACATTGGTTTAAATTTGATTTTCAAAGTGCATGTTTTTAAAGTGTATGTTTTGCTAGGTTTTACGCCTGGCTTGTTTGTGTGTCTGTGCGTTCTATTTTGTCCTTTCTGTGTGTTACAGTGAAGGGCATTTGTGTCTCAGAGGTCTGACACTACTGTAGTTCTATTGTTCTATACTTTTGTCACTGTAGTCTACAATCAAGATTGCTCTCACTCCTGATTGATGTGTTTCAGTCTTTGATGCACACATAAAAACATGGGGATGAAATTGCCTTCCGTGGTAGCATCAGCTTCTCCTTCTCCTGTTGTCAAAGATCAATAAATTACATTTCTCATCAAAGTGTCACACAGAAACCTATTACACATCGACTCATTCGCCATAAAGGGCGTCTGATGAAAAGTTATGTCTTGTCCACGGCCAGTTTGAAGAAAAACAACATGAACCACCAACCATATATAGAAACTGAGAAACTGGAAGCATTGGTCAAAGTTGCACTGATTAGTTCTTTTTATGGGACATAAAGTTTTATGGACCTCTGTTGGTGACATTATGGTACTGCAACAATATTTACATTTTGATGAATGCTAGTGAATGCTATGCAAGTTTATGAGGCATAACTGTGCATCTCAATTCAACCCTACAGAACATCTTTGTTTTAGAGAACGGTCTAATGTTGGCTTTTTATGGACGTCGCTTTAAAACAACAAACGTCACAGAGGCTAGAATATTGACACACAGTTGAATGTACAAATGATCTATGAGATGAAATACAATGAACTAAACATTACAATTTTGACCATGGTGGATTTTTTATGGGCAGTTTTAACAAGGAAGACATTTTTTATGTATATTTTAGCTACTTGTTTGTTCCCTGCTACTCTGGGTTGAGTTAAAATAAAGCTGAGTTGAGTTGGGTTTTAAGGTGTATTTATGGTGCATGTTTTTGACACCATCAGTACTTTCATGCTGTTCATACTGATCTACTGACGTTCTGTTGTATTGTGTAAAGTGAGTTTATGATTCTCCCTCTGCACAATCTATTTCAACATTATGTCTGTGCATCTCCTGGTCAAAAGACAGCTGGAGACAAACCTCAGTGCTGCTGTGATAAAACACTGAAGTGAAGAAAAACATCATTGATCTTTAAAGCCTTCGTTCCTACATTATACACCACATGCTGTGCTGAAGGGTAATCCAGATCTGTGTCTATATTCACTTTATATTCTATCTCAACTCAGCATATCTTCATTTACAAAGCATCGTTGAAACAAACCAAGTGTTTCCATTGTACAAATTAAAACATTGCAGTCGAAAAACAAGAACATTTACAAACAACAGATACAGTTTCTAAGTTGCATGGCTTTAATCATTATAATTATGCGTCAATTTAGACAGCATATGTTCCCAGATTTATTTTTAAGTTCCAATAACATAAGAAGCCCTCAGAGGACAACATCCTTTTGTTTATTTTTAGCAGATTGCACATATTAAAGAAGTTTGTTTCCGAAACAGACTTTTTAGCTGGGTCAGCAATCAAGTTAGTGGTATTGATCTGAACCCCACCAAATCCCCGCTTCCCTTCGAAAAGATTTATCATTTCTGTTTTGAGCTGTGGACTGCAGAACGTGAGCTGGCTGAATAAAATGTGCGGCTGAACACATACAGTAAGGGGAATCAGGTCTCACTGTGCAGGCCGTTTAGAAACTGATGCTCATTGTGGCCTGAAAAAAAGAGATCAGCGTGTGGGAGTAAAACAACATGAGGTGTAATTTTAGCTCTTCTTTACAGAGATGTAAACTGTCTAGTAAATTCCAGAGGAGAGTAACTTTTTCAGAAGATAATAGTCCAGAATCAGAAGTGCTTATCTGTACTTTTCCCCCATAATAAAACACCCATCTTCCAGCGTTGTTGCATTCAATGAGATTGCTTCTTGAGGATTGGGAACAGGAATCTGACTTCAATGCTGCAAAGTGGTGTGTCTTGCCCAGCTACATATATTTGTCCGCCTCCTCTCCCCTGTGAGTAGAAAAGTGACATATTGTGCCATGAGCCAGATAAACATAGTGATGAATCAGTGGCCCAAAGGAAATGAGACCCACTGTGTCGCTCCAGTCCACACACTCCATAATGAGTTCCTCTCATATGCACGTCGATATGTTGATCTTTTCACTCATTTGTTTTGTTGCTATTTTACGTCAATCAGTTAGCAGGAAATCAACATGGCTAAAAGCAGGTCTCCACATGCATCACACTGAGCCTTCAAAAGGTCAGACATCAATGAACGAGGTCCATCATTGATTCAACTTGTCATGTCTCACAGGCATTACTTATCTGCAAAATGTCTATCAACACCTCATTACTCTTTAACTCAGAGAATGGTTTTTAACGCAAATATAAAATATTTTCGGTCAAACAACGTGCATGTGTGTTCACATGAAATAAAAACAGATCACTTGGAGTTTAACTGAAAGTGGACGCTGCCCAGTGTTACAATCAAAGGACAGATTAGCCTCTATTTTTACAGCTTGACACACAGTTGTTGCACCGCTTAAAAAACTTTTCTATGCACATTTTCTTAACTATAATTGAGTCAAGCAATGTTTTTTCCTGTCCTCATTCCAAAGATTCAGTTAGATTTGAGTAAATATTTACTCAAGATTACTCTTTGGACCTGCTCTATATTTTCAGTGTCATTAAATCGTTTTTTTCTCTTTATATTTGGTACTTAATATATAAAAACTGACTGTATATATCATAAAAAAAAATACAAATCCCCAGTTGGCATACCTGTACTACCTTGTTGTCAGTTATACTTGCACCTGCACAATTTGAGTGATGGAAGTTGTGAAAATATTGTAATGCCGATGTCGTTGCTGATTCAGAATTTGATTTAATAACCCCTGGCTTAAGTCATTGGTGAAATAGTTGCAACTTGTGTTACAACTTTAAAGCACTGTAATTTAGACAACATTCTCCTGTAAGGTGCATAACTGTAGGGGCAAAAGATCAAACATTTCATTCCAGGCAGCAGGTTAACATTTTAGCCTCCTCTATATGTATCGAGTAATATTCCACAAATTCAAACCTTTAATCAAGGGAAGCCATTACCAACCCTGTATGTTCATAAAGTGTCTAACACAAGTGTGTTTTATTGTGATTGTTAGATCTGATAGCTAAACAGAAACATGAAGTGTAATTTTGCTGATTTAGGCAAAGTTACATGATATATAGTTTTCATGATCTGAAATATTTCCACATCTATTTAAACTTCTTTGTTTTAGAAGTAGAGATACATTTACAAATTATTTTCACTTTATATGAATGAGCCTACACTTTGGTTTCATTCAGGATTCGGCTACGTCATGGATCAAGTGCTTTGCTGTAAACTGACCTGTAACATCCAATCAAATTAAGGCTTTGACATGCACCTTGACATGCTCATACTTCTCATTATTATGTGGAAATGTGTGTTCAATATTAATGCATTACAATTTTCCCCATCAGAATCCTCATCATTCATTATTCATGTTTCAAACTAAAATCCTTTAAATATAAATAATATGATAATATATTTGGATATTGTCTGTCAGACGTTACCAAGGCTCAAAGCTTCACCCTATGCCTCCTCAGGCTCATATGTGAACACTTGAATGGAGTGATTTAATAGTTGAATCCATCAGTGTATTTAATATGTCCCAGAAACCTGCAGATACAGTGCGCAATGCTGATCCCTGAAGGGGAAATTTGATCCTTATGCTGATTAAAGACACACACACACACACACACACACACACACACACACACACACACACACACACACACACACACACAGCTTTTGTGAAAGATAACCATGTTGAGAAAATGAGGTGTAAAACAGCCGAGAACTGAGAAAACTGGGCCACAGCTGGAGCTCATGTGCTTGAAAAAAAAATGTCACACTTTGAAGCGGATGGAAAATGTTGGTCAGGCTATCTGAGGAGAGTCCTTCTCTGGCCAGCTCCCTGACTCACTCTGATCTCTTTACATTACTTCGCAGCCTGCAGGGAGCTGCTATGGTTTGCATACTAAACATGCTTCTCTTCTATTCTGTAGATGATGTATGATGTAGCCAGATATCACAGATGAGAAGAATTCCCTCATATACTTTACAATCTGCACAGCATACAACACCCTCCATTCACACAAACTGTCAAGTTTGGTATAAGATTCAGAAGTAAAGGACTTTGAGATTCAAGGCTAGTCCAAAATGCTAAGTCCATAAATGTCAAACCAAAAAAACATCCACAGGGAAATCAATATACAGAAAATTATGAAAACCCAAGAGAATCACAAGCCACATGAGAAGAAAGGTTTGAAAAAGGACTGGCAAAGAAACTGGAAGATGAGCGTCATCAGACAGAGCTGAGGGAACCAGACAGTTAAAAATAAAAAAGGCAAGGCACACAATTAAAAAAAGTGGTAAGCACACACACACACAGAGGCAGGAAGTTAAATAGAAAAAAAGGAAGAGTACATGTCAAAAAATAACAGAAATTGAATCACGTAAATTAAACGTGAATGACAACTCCCTCAAACATTGCTTTGGCAGGAAAAACAAACTGAAGAAGTCTCAGGGACAGCAAACGGATTAATTATTTTAAAAAAAAGATAGAAAGACATGCAAAAGATACAGAATAGTAATAACTTTATATATTGCCTACTACAACGTGTTTAGAAGTGCTTTTACCAAAGCTAAAACATTATACTCAGAGGGTAACTCAACAACATAACAAGACACAGCAGATAATAATAATGATAGAAAGGGTAAAAGAGGCATATTCCATTTTGTAGAAACATTTAGAAGAAGGAAACACGTCTGTGATGCCGATGCTTTTAAAGAAATTATATTTTTGGGAGCTACTAACCGTCATCTGCTTTATTGCTTGTTTTCCTTCCTTTTCAGGTCAATGAGATTTACCATGACGAGTCTCTGGGAGTCCATATCAACGTGGTCCTGGTGAGGATGATCATGCTTGGATATGCCAAGGTGAGTTGCACAAAAAAATTTAGCTCATTTGTTTTTGTAAATGCCAAAATATAACAGATAATTGTAGAAACTCAGTTAGAGCCTAATTGCCACAGAGAGTGCAAGAAAGTGGTAGTGTGGAAGGAAACTGAGTTGATTTAAACACATCATAAAGATACTCAAGTGTCAGTGCCAAAAAAAGTTTTAATTACTGGACTGCAGCTACTTTTATTTTTATTCACACGAAACTCATTAAAAGCAGCAAATGTTTTTGCTTTTAGGTGCACAACTGCAATTCAGAGAATAAAAAAAATACAACACAAGAACAAAAAAGTGAAATAAAAGAACTTGTAAAGAAACAAGAAAATCCAATTGAAAAGAAACAGACTATCTGAAGTGAAGTACCGCAGAAAACATAAAAAGGCTTCACAAGACTGAAAGCACATACAATCAATATGTAGTCCAACAGCTTTCCACTGTTTTTAAAGATTACCTGTAAGACCATGTCACAGCAACAGACGCATTTTTATATTTAATCAATCAGCTTCCCTGAAATGGCCTCAGTCAGTAAACATGCACACATAACAGCAAATTGTAAAGCAAATGGCCCTGACAGTTCTGACATTTAAAGGAATAAGAGCAGATAAGTCAAAGACTGGGAATCTGTCACTTTTCCCCCTCCACTCTAGCCTACCCTCCTCTGTTACCAGGTAAAGGTCTCCACAAAGTGATAAGGATATCAGAGAGAAGTGAGACAGGAGTCAAAGATATTAACACATCTCCTCAATACAAATTTTCTGATTATTGTCCTGTTTGTATTAACAAGCTAGCTGGCTAGAAAAAGTGATAATAACTTACATGCAGTAGAAGCCTGTATATATTTTTTTTGACTGGCTAATTGTCAACAGGCATGTTTAGAGCTATAATGTAATTTTAAAGTTCTCTTAGGAAGTGTGCCTCAACAATCGTTTTACAGACATATGCAAAGCCTATAAGGGCAAGAAAAAATATATGCAGTCAGCCCAACAATAAATTAACTTTAAACTAAAATATTTTATTAGTGTGAAAGTTCTAGACATTAAAATAAATAAAAAACAATGGCCCCTATTTAAAAAGGGAGATAATATTTTGTCAAAATATAGGAAGGAATAAAAGCCTACATTCAGCAAAATGTTTTTTGTGCAAAACCCCTCGAATTGACTGATTTTTTTCCATACTTAGGTTTACCAGCTAACGCAACAGACACACTTTTTACTTTGGAGTAGGAGTAGGTATACTTCTACATCAGGAGTAGTATAGTCTTAATTTGTCCACGCTAATACTTTCAGACTTACTTGGTAAAATTTGGTTGCTGGTTTTTGTATAATGAATCTAACTATGCAAAGAAACTTACAAATAGAGATTTCAAATAAGAACAATCAAAAGAAAGTACAACTCTAAAAAAAAAAGTAAAGTATGTACAATACAATAAAAAAGAACAGGTTCGGCTACCGCATAACAATGACATCGAAGTACTATTTACATAAAATCCAAATGAATGTGACATTTTAAAAATGCAGTATTTACCTGTGTGATTAAGTGATGTGAGAATCTGGAGAAATACAAGAAGAACCTACATTTGAACTTATGATCAGGACTGGAAAAAATATATAATTTGCAATTGTATATCGCACGGCACATTTGCTGTATTCTCTTCAGTTGCAATGGTCTGATGCTTTTAGAGTAATCAGCATTTGCCAGAATGTTGCAGGAGCTGTGGTCGAGTGAAATCATAAATTAAACAGAGCCTTTAGTGATAACATGTTGGATGTTTTTCTGCAGTGGGTCAGCACTAGTACTTCCATCTATCCTTCCCACACCGAAAGCTGCACACCGAACAGTTTCTTTGGCTGTGGCTAAAGAAAGATTTCGAGCCTCGTCATTGGCTTAACAGCAAACACAGGGGAAAAGAAAATTACAAATATTTATTCAGTAGTTGGATTCAAGTCAAAAATGTCATTAGAAGAGTACATAAACAGAAAACTAAGCAAACTAAACACTTCTCTGTATCTATTTTAAGTAGATCTAGTAGACAGCTCATGCATGCGTTTCTAATCTATTTTCATTCTTACGCACAGTAAAACAAAATCAAGCCAACATTTAGGGGCCAAACTGGAAGCAGTTTAAATACTATTATTGTTTTTATTATGCTTTTATTTCCATTAAAAATACATATATGAAGTACTTCAGATGATAATTTCAACCTCATGGAGTATGTTTGTGACACATCCACAGTGATTAATAATACATATGAAAAGCTAAATGGGGAAGAAAAATGTATGCAGATTGCAGGTGTCAGCCACTTGAATACCCTTTCACAAATTCTTTAAAAAGCCACGCATGGATGCTCACACAGTGTGCAGAAAAGTCAGTGACAGCCTATTTGAAATGCATTTGTGCCTGCTTTTATTTTTAGATGACTGACTTGAAATTCAGTCTTATCTATCTGTTTTATTATCACACCAGGCGAACTGTGTTTTTTATCTGTCTACAGCTTCCACATTTCATACTGCTGCTGACGCAATACAAGCATGTTCATTTACGGTCAAGGTTGAGCATAATGCATATCTCTCTATCTGTCCTCCGTCAGTCCATCAGCCTCATCGAAAGAGGCAACCCATCACGGAGCCTGGAGAATGTGTGCCGATGGGCATTTGTGCAACAGAAAGGCGACCCTGAGCACGCAGAACACCACGACCACGCAATCTTCCTCACTCGCCAAGGCTTCGGTCCCACGGGGATGCAGGGTAAGACCCGGGGGACACACAGACACATTTCAAAATGCGGTTGCCTGCAGCATTTTCACCTGCCTTCTGTGCTTAATCTATAACAGGAGGCTGTCAATCACATCGTTCTTCACAAATTGTCATCCTAGTAATCATGACTGATCCTTTAGTTTACATTTGACATTTCTGAGTGGCTCTGTCTGCCACATATTCATTTCAATGGAATTAAAATCTTGTCTTGATTTTAAAAGTTGAGTAATTATGCAAATTGTATATGGAACGTTTAATATGCCTTGAAAAAGAACAATGAACAATCAAAACTCCTGGCTCATCAAGATCAATCACCAATAATCATCCACTGAAGGTAACACCTAAGGGCCTTTTGTGCCTCTTATTTGGCACCCTCCTTTACTTTCTGTTTATCTGAATACAGACCCTTTAAAATTCCAGGCTCAAGGCATTTTACACCATCTGCCAGAAAACGACTGCTTGCTTGCTTATTTTCTTCTCCACAGCAGCCCAACTGAAACAATGAGGGTAAGGAATGAAAAACCTAAAGTCAGCACCATTTAAAGCCCATTTAACTGGCTTCATGCCTTTTTAATTGCCCCTTTGAACAGCAGTGCATTTGTTTTTAACGTTGCGTTAGCGTTGGCTAATTTGCTCAATCCTTTCTTTTTGTTGAGACAAAATGAAATATATTCATAGGCCTGCAGAATACAGGCATATTGGCATGGCTAAAGCATTTGCAAGCTTCACTGATCCTGTGAGCTATCAAAGTGCATTAGCTTCAGGTATACATAGAAAACTTGGAGGATTGCTGCTCTGACATAGCATTGCCAATAGTCTTTACAATATGCAATATGTGCATCACCAGAGTTGATTGTTGTATCCAAACAAGGCCCGGAGAAGGCATAGACAGTAACACACAAAGTGGTAATGGGTTTGTTGTGATAAGCTACTTAGCACGTTTCATCGATTATATTTAATGATAAACATTTGGTTCTCCAAACTCTGTGATTACAAGTGCAGAAGGGGCTTAACTACAGCATCTATCACAATTGTATTTAGTTTTGGTTTTTTTTGCATTTAATTAGCTAAAAAGATTTGAGCTTTGGCCAGAAATGAAGATGTCTGGAACTATAATAAAAAAATATTTCTGATGTGTTTAATGTAAAAAATATTCCAGTAACACTTTATTCCAGCTGTTTTTGTTCAAGACACTGAGTTGATGATATACTTTTCTTTGGCACGGATGAAACACTTATAGAAAACTTTTTCTGTTTTCTTCCACCAATTTTTCTCACCTTACTCTCACTTTACTTTTGTTGTGTTCAGTAGTAAAACCTTTTGAAGCTTCTTGTCATGCCAGACACAGAAGAGAAGATAAGTGCTTCAGCCCTGTCCATCAGTTATTTCTCAGTGGTGGAGAGAAAAATGAATTGTTGTTTGTAGTGGTACCCTTACTGTCAGGCCATTTGTGTTTCAGTTGTTTTAATGATGTATACTTTTGCAAATTGTGTTTCATCACAGCTGAAATCTCTTGGGATAAATAAACCAGTAGTTGATGTCTTTTTTTTTTGTGTCATTTATCAATCATTACGGACAATTCCCCTGTCGAGCAGACCCAGTTTTCTGTCATGCTATCAATATATTAAGACATGATGGACTTCATGGCTTCCTGTAGGACTGTGCTAGTCAAAGGCAGAGTAATTCCAATGCTGTCTGGGGAAAACATCAAACAATCACTCCTCTGCATTCCTTCCCTCAGCCGTTGATAGTCCTCGATGGACCAGAGCCACGCTGTAAATCAAGATGGCTTTAATCTTCTCTGTTTGAGTGTGACATATTTCAGAATCGTAGAATTTCCACAGTATGAAGTAAACAAACCAATTGACCAGATTTCCCCAAATGGACTGTGAGCAGAAAATGATAGGTAGATAGAAACTGTTGATGAAAAGGATGGGAGAAAACGCCAGTTCAGTTTTCCATGAACAGCTATCCAATCCATCAAATCAAACTATAGGAACAAACAAAACATGTTCCTGGCGGGAGAATAAAACCAGATGCTCTGACAATATGAATTTTGCTACTATTAGTTTGTATTATCTGTTGTTGGTGTTGTTGCTTTGAGAAGTCTGTCTATTTGTCTGTCTCTATACATTTCTCTCTTTCCCATTGAATCGTGGCAGATGGCTATTCTTACATTTTTTTCCTGTATAAAGGACATTTTCCTTGCTGCTGTTGCCTAGCTTGTTGTAAATTGATAAATTAAAAAAAAAAATGTACAGTCTAAACCTGTTCTTTATAAAAGAGTCAGGAGATATTTTTTGTTCATATTTGGGCGCTTTAGAAATAAAAGGTTGTTGATCGGTTTTCAGCTTCTCCCTCTATGCAGGGAATTATTATGTTTCAAAGTTGAGTAGGGTATCATTCTGTAAAATAGGAAATATACATACAAGGACTATTTTAGTTGTTCATAGCAGGTCATTCTGTCAAATGGAGGAAAGCATTAAAGATTCTTGATCAATTGGGTGTCTGTTTTAAATGCATTTTCACATGTTTTTTTTGCCTACTTCCAATGGCGTTTTTAAGTGCATGCAGACATTTTGGATGTAAAAGGGTTCCAGAAGTCAGGTCACATTTATTCTCTGCTCAGATGACTGTAGATGAAAGGCACTTGGAGCACTTGCGAGGCTTGGATAGACATAAAACGACTCTGGCTGAATCATCTGGGCAAAGATGAGCAACTGTGTTTGAAAATATTTAGCTTTTTGATTTAAAGTCAAAAGTGACCCAAGAAGAATGAGAACAGAAATGTGTCACTAGACTGTGGCTGCCAAGGAGCATTTGCATTGGCTTCACTTTTTAAGAAATTAAGTTTCAGGCCTGATTTATGATTCAGACTTCTCTTTTTTACTTTTTTTCACTGACAGAATAATTATGAACTAATTCAAAAGATTATTACTGGGTGTGATACTATAATCTTTAAGCATAGTTGAATTAGAAAGGTGACTTGTTTTGCTCTCCCATTGAGGAAGATTGAGGATATAAAAAAAACTTCCGTCGACAGAAAAGTGAATGTAATTAACATCTAAGGATTTTAAATGAATAGAATTACCATGCAAGGTGTAGTATTCCTGACTGAAATATCCTTGTACCTCTGTTCGCTCCGGGTGGCTTACCTCGATCCTTTTCAGTTTGTGTCTTTTTAGTAACGGATCCCAATGATCGAAAAGATCTTTCTGTACGGCATGCAGCTTTTACACACTTTTAGTGTATGGGTGTAGATTTAGATTAAGCAGGAAAGTTTGCACATCAATAGACGCAAATGCGTGTGTGTGTGTGTGTGTGTGTGTGTGTGTGCGTGTGCGTGTGCGTGTGCGTGTGCGTGTGCGTGTGCGTGTGCGTGTGCGTGTGCGTGTGCGTGTGCGTGTGCGTGCATGCGTTTTTCGGTAAGCAGACAGACTGTGTGTCCGGATGGTGTTGATCCCTCTGATTGATAAAATAATAAAAATCAAATCTCTGATATTTCTAGCATGTCGGTCGAATGATTGCTAAACTTTGACATTAGAGTGCAATTAATCAGTGTTACGTTTTTGAGACGTTATTCATTCTGTAATTCATTAATAGAAATGAACACATTTTTTTTGGCAGCCCTGATGAAACATAGCATGACCGAGATTAAGCGATCACTTATGTTTATACTAGCGGTTGTTTGGCTTAATTCTAATGAAAAGCAGCCTGCAGGCCTTCAAATGATCCCAGGTTGCTCTGTGTTGTTCGTGCATAGTAACAATGAAGTGGGCCATCAGATGAAATTAGGGCAGCTGGACCTGAACTGTAAAAGCAAAGGGGACATCACTTAAATTCCCAATTCCCACAGTAAATTACACCATTTGGAGGCATAACGCATGAGGAGTCAATGTGTTTTGTCTGAAGGAGCACAGAGAGCATTTCACTAAGTGAGTTTTAAAGTGATCTAGATATCAATGTGGGTTGTTTTTTGTGTGGGTAAACCTTTTTGTGGGTCGGCTTTGTTATTTCAATTTAGCTCGTTTTCTGTGGAATTTGTTTCATTTATGACAAAGTCATATTTTTGTTAAAAGGGTAGGCCGCTAATATTTTGGCTGGCATAACTAAATTATTAATTGGTTTTGAAATAAAATAGTTTTTTATAGAATTAAGAAATCCAAGTTTATATCCATTTATTATCGACAAACAACAAGACAGTTATCTTCTTTGAAGATTACAGGTTTTGACATTTCCTACAATATGGTTATTTTCTCTCATGACAATAGAAAAAAACCTGGAGATATGAGATTTCCATTCATGGGATGACTGTGTTTATTGTGGTTTGGGTGTCTAACTGACAAGTAATTTAATTTGTAGGTCAGGACAGATCACTATTAGTGGCACTGTGCCTGATGTTCTGTATATTAGCAGTACTCTGCCAGAATCAATATTCACTAATGTCTTTCTGTGCCTGGCAATGTGTGGCTCACTTCTTGTGGAACAATATTTGTGGGTTAGGTGCCAAACAAGGTTATTTTTTGCTCACACTGCTGCATAAGGTTTGTTTCTGTCTTTTTCTGCCTTGATACAAAAAAACCCACTCCTGAGCAAAGGGTTAAATGAGGAGCACATGTTTATTCCAACTGTGCTACTGATAAGGTTATTAAGAGCTGCCATCTGTAGCTTCAATACAGACAGCTATTAATATCAACAATATTTTTTTGCAGGGGGTGATGCAATCAAATCTCATGCGTAAGTGTAACAGGAAATCCAAGCAACAGTATGAATTGCAGGCGTGTTTAATAATCATGAGGCTGACAAACATGGAGACGCTTCCTTCCTACTTTGCAAAAAAAACCTTTTGACTCTCCAGCCTGCTACTATTATCAGCTTCCTGCCTTGTCGCTCAGCATGTAATGAACTGATTTGTCACCACATATGATGCGCATTCACAAATTAACATTTGAGAAGATTTTCTCAGATTAATTGCACTTCCAATTTAAAATCAGAATCAGTTTGATCAATTAGTAATAATGACAAGCAACAGTAAAGGATTCATTGTCGACATTAAAGGAAGAATGGAAGAGTAAATGGAGATGTCGCCCTTGAGCACCAGAATGAAACCAAAACAAACTGCTGTTTGGCTAGACCTCCGCCATACTAAAAGCCTCCACTCGCCTCCTAAAACACACCAATGCCTCTACACTCAGGTTTGCATGGAGAAGTTAAGAGCAAGTGACAGCCACATTTTTCCTTGTTTTTAGCTGCAATCGCCTGTGGCCTGCATTGTTTTGTTAGCAAGCTAATGTTAGCACACTTTAGTTAGCTCATAACTTCACATTGCAAATAAATTGACAATGAACGACTATGATCTTAAAACTTTTACGTGACATCAACATAAGCAATGAGTAGGCTTCGTTATTCTTACAGTCTTTGACTAAAACAGCTTTAATATGCAAGGAGATGAGTCGACCGCCCGTCCTTGTAAACCTGATGTAAACACGGCTTAGACAACAATACAGCCAGCGGGATGCGCGCTCATTGTCGACAGTCACGACTCAGAGATGTTTACACAGGATATACTGGATTTCTGCTACTATTCATGTGTAAAATGTTGCACATTCTTCCTTTAATGCCATCTATCTTTTTAACAAAAGGTTGGTTTGCTTTCTATTTTCTTCTTACAATAACCTTCATACTTCCTCATTTTGTCCTTCAGGTTATGCTCCAGTCACAGGAATGTGTCACCCAGTTCGGAGCTGCACACTGAACCATGAAGACGGCTTCTCATCAGCCTTTGTTGTGGCTCACGAGACCGGACATGTGTAGGTTCTTGTTGTTGTGATCTTCCTTCTCTGTCCGTGTAGGTTTTTTTGAAACTCCTAAACACACACATCCATCTTCCCATGTTGACACTGTGCTGGATTGTCAAGGGTTGTAATTGTCCTCCGCAGTACACCACAGCTGCACATGTTGTGTGAATATTTACTTGAGGCTCTTTCTCCTGTGATCACGAGGGTTGGTGGCACAGGGAACCTTTAAGCAGCTCAGCCTTTAGCTCTCCCTGTCTGAACATGTTAGCCTTTATTGAATTTCTATAGAATGTTTATTGAACAAATGTCCAAAACCACAGGCATATAAACTGCTATGTTAAACACTAAGCAAATACTACAGGTTTGTAAAAGTGTAGATTAATGTTCACGCTAATGCAAATCTCTTAAAATGTGAATCCCTGATAAGACAGGAAGACGTTTTGTTTACTGAATCGCTCGAGGACTTGAATCTAAAAATATTTAGTCTTAAGGAGGAATCGTTACGTTTGTATCAGCAGTGCAACAAAGTCAAATTCAACAGGCAAAACAAGAGCAGAAAACAAGGCCCAACACTACATTTTGACCAATTAAACTGATCAAGAGGAACCAATTAGGAATGAAGGTCTCCCTTTTTTTACAAGCCTGACTCAAATAAAAGCTCCCTATGAAGATGAGATCAATTTAAAAAAGGCCCTAAGTCACAAATAAGGCCCTTACACTTTAAAAATATGTGCACCATCGACCCCACTCTTGCTCAATTTTCCTCACACACCCACACCCGCATTCAGTATGTAGAGATAACAACACTCACATGAGCTTAGATCACAGCGGGATGAAATGTTGAATCTTGTAAAGGCAAGAGAAATGTCAGAAAGCACTTATCAAATGACTTTGTAAATGCAAAACACGCAAAAAAAACAGGTACGATATGTTTGGAGTCATTGTGCAAATTCAAACAGAATTTGACTCCAGAAAGAGACACAAATTGGTTTTAAAAGTTCAGATTCATTAGGTCTTTACATCATATGTGGCAAGTAACCTAAGAAATCAGAACAACACATTTTTTTCTGGGTTTGTTGAAAGTGAAATACCTTTTTAAAAAGGAGGGTGATGGCGTAGAAGAAAAGAGAAACTGTCCTCAAGCTGGTGCAGCTGTTTGACAGAGTCAACCTCTGTTTGACTGAGTCGATCAGCTGATACAGCAAGCATCCATCCTGCTAAATTTTCCTAGAGCGCGACACTGAATCCTCCAACTTCACGGTAGTTTGCTCTGCAGCTGACCCTGGGGGCAGAAGAACAGAGAGTTTTACCTTCAGAGAAAGGGAAACATAGTTTTTTCGCTGTACTGAACATGAACACACACACACACACACACACACACACACACATACAGATTTTGAGTGCTGAAAGGAGATCCTAGAGGGGGTCTTTTGAGACAATTCTTTGAATTTAATTTCCAGATTAGTCTTATTAAAGTAAAAAAAAAAGCCTATTCACAATTTCTGAGACAGCATCAAAGCTTTTGAACTAAAGCACAGCTAAGAGATTCTTTAGTTCTTCCTAAGCTGTTGAGATAAATGGCGGCATGAAGAGAATGCAAAAAAAAACAACTTAATTGAAATACTGTGTTTATGCTGTTTTGATCCAATCCGATTTGAGTAATTTTCATTGGATATGTGGGAAGATATGATACCCAGCCCAGAACTACAACAGAGTATCAGGGCCAAGTTAAAGAAAATCTTTCATACATTTTTTTCGATTAAAGTCAAAATTTTACGAGAAAAGAGTCATACATCCTCGAGATTAAAGTCATAAATTTAAGGGACTAAAGATGTCTGATATTAATATGTATGATATTAAATTCGTAAATCAATTTAGATTAGGCTATGGTTAAAATTATTATTCTGAAAGGTTGTATCAGAAGAGCAGCCATCAGCCTGCGCGAAAATGATTAACGGGGAACCCTCAAAGCCGCTGTCACAAAAGAGATGATTTCCTGAAGTCAGTGTGGTTCTTTCTCAGGAAAAGCCCCAGTTTCTTGCAGTATCTTTTCAGGATCCTGATACTTGTGATGCTGATGTTCGCAAAAGAATGCGTAGTTTCATATCTGCACAAGTAATGCCCCAACAACATGAATATTTTGAGACCTAGTCAAACTGCTGTTTTAAAGCAGATCATTCCACAGAGAGTTCATACTCAATCAATCTGTGTTACAGACTAAACAAGAAAGTATTTCCTTATATGTGAAACCTATACTCAAGTATAACTTCACAAGATGCTCCACGTTCCTTTTTCATACAGGCAGCTGCTGCTCTTCTGATGAAACTTGAGACTAAATTAACAACTTTAATCTCATAAATTGACAACTTTAATCTTGTGAATGTACAACTTGTATGACTTAATTCTTGGAAATGACTGACTTTTTTCTCTTACGACTTTATTCTGTTAAATGAACAACTTTATTCTCGTAAATTTATGACTTCAATCATGACTCTCAGATTTTTTCCCCCCAGTGTTATCCTAATACTCCTTAATGCAGAACAGACTTAATAAGAAATGTACCAGTATAGGTTTGTCTTAGTGGGTTCCAGCTAGTGGATTGTCCCAAGCTTTAGCCACAGGGGATACCCCAATACTAATGATTAAGATCAATTTTGAATAAGATATTGCAACAAGAGCTCTTTTGGGGGTAATATAACGTCCAACAACCTAATCATGGCTCAATACAGTCATTATACCGTGTCCCAACAGGACCTGAATGTAAGATATCGCGTTGCGCATGATCGTACGTTGGCTGTCCACACTGCATCAGTTAAACATTTAATTTCTCTGCTCTTTGAATTTCACTTTGCATTGCAAACAGTAGGCCATCAAGTGCTTTGGTATTGAAGGCAGACAAATGAACAGAAGTGTGGTGATCAGTACTGACGAGCTGTTGGCTCAAATCACAACACTCAATAAACTGCTCGCAGTGAGCAGAAATAATGTTTTTCTCCGGTGTTGACACAAGTCAGAGCTCAACATTTCAATCACAGATGTGGATATTATTACATTGTCACTTTGTAAAACAAGCTAGTTAAAACGGTTCTCCTCTGTGTATTTAGAACCCATAATTGAAGTTACAGTTACAGGTGCACATATGGGGAATATTTGTACACCCTTCCAAAGTCATATCGGAACTTCTCTGTTCTTTTAAAGAGAATTGTACATTTTTTCCAAAGAAATCTCTACGCACAGCAGAGATGTGTCCATAGGTGTGGCCAGGGATGGCATGGCCCCCCTTAGAAATCAAAATGGCCACCCCAGGTGCCACCCCAAAAATCTTAAACTGTGATTGGCTTTTTGCCCTATCAGAGGCAGGACTTAAAAAGAACTATTAGGTACTGTATTTGTGTCAGAAGGCTGCTAGTAGTTTCCTTTACATATCAATGTAGCCAAGAGGCTCTTACAAGCATATTTTCTTTTGTTTGTACTTTAAATTGTAATTAAAACCTTTGCACATCGATTTCCTTAGACAGGTACATAGAAAAGTTATGCTTTCTGTCTTACTTGCAATGAACTAACTGGCATTATGTTGGGACCAAAACATTGCAAGTAAGACTGTGCAGGAGTTTGCATATACATTTTTAAGTATTTTAATTTGTGACTTTGGGTTTCAGAGGGCATTTGCTGTACACAGAAAAATCGCTAGTATGGAGAGCAAAAGGGAGGGCACTTAATCCATCATAATGTACTCCTTCAATCGATTGGTGGCCATCTAAAGACAATTTAGCTTCAATTCATCTCTGAAAACAGACACCTGCATGCAAGTGCAGCTAACAACCTGCTAAAAGACTTAATTTGTCAACTTAAGTTGCCATAGTCGGACTGTAAACAATGGCAATTCATGGAAAATAAAGTCTTGGCTCAAAGACCTTCATTGCTTACTGCTGGCTACACCTGAAGCCCTTAAAAGTTTCCCATCACACCCAGAGAGCTATAACACCATTAGACGGCAGCTGTTCTCTAGTAACTGAAGAGTTGTTCTCCCAAGGGCTGTCCTTAAAATAATTTCTAGAAATTTGCAGTTGAATGTTGTTTTTATTTTATTTTTATTTTATTTTAAATTGATTTAACCAGGAGAACCTCACTGAGATTAAGAATCTCATTTGCAAGAGTGTCCTGGCCAAGAGGGGCAGCAGCAGAACAAAAAGTTACAGACACGGAGTAATTACAAACACAGTTTAACATGTCCTGAGTCACATAGCAGAAATTGTTCCCACCGTTGTTATGTTACTTTTGATCACAATTTCACTATTTAAAGCGAAATATTTACAATCTAAATAATCAGCTTTAAAACTGGAGTTTAATATATTATTTTGGTAAGGGGAAGCTGTGGTGGAGTTTGAGCATCTCTTCACTTTTTTTCCCCATGTGTGACCTTCAGTGACAACTAACAAAGAAGAAAATATCCCAGTGCAGGCGCTCTTTGTTGTAATTAACCCCGAAAGGACCGTCTATCAGGCTTGACATGTCGATCTATGTAATGAAGCAGTCACACCACTGTTTCTACAAGCAGTCAGAGTTAATCCAATGGGGAAATCGGGTTTTCTTTATTCAAGACAGGCCACCCCTTGTTTCCAGGCAACCATATGTTTAATTAATTATGTGACCATAGAACCAGGAAGACTTCATGCTTAAAAGGCCATTTTATTTTTCACAGAAAAGGTTTGATTACTTTTAGTTTGTCTATATTTAAATGAATTAATTTACATATACGTTAAGTGCTATAAGTGGTTTCTGGAAAACATTAGACATTTTGAGCATATTTGCTTTATGGCTCAATGATATTGGTGGCAAATTATTATTCAAACAGTGGCTCAATAGCCTCCTCAGAGGATCTCTGTGGCAGAATAGTCTGATGGGATGTTGATATAATCAGCAGTAAGAGAACAGAAGACAGACAGGTACAAGATGTGTCAGGTACACTCGCCTTACGCACATTAGATTGACAGCCGGGGTGAGTCTATGTGACTTTTCTGAATGCGTGAAATAGACAATCCGTCACCACCATAAGGAAGTAATACCACATAACAAAGCCCCTGGTGTATGTGAAGCAACCTTTATTTCGTGTATCACAACTCTAGGTGGTCTTATTTAGTTCTTCTGATGGCAATTTACAAAAGACAGAAAGATAAATAAGATAAATTGTTGGAGTGCTTGTCCTTATTTTTTTGGTGAACAGCCGTCTGCTTTGACTGGATGTGCGGAGTGCGATAGAAGGAAATACAAAAAGAGAGACATGAATGGATACAAATGGAGATAGACACACAGGTATATGCACACACAACAGTTAATAAAGACATAGAACATTTAAATTGGTTAATGAGCCAATTATTATTTAGAAGAAAGGAAAGAAGAAGAAAAAACTGTTCATTCCTTATTCATCCTGTGGTAGTTGATTTTACATCTGTAAGTAGATTCCAATAAAACTTTAGATTCATCATCTCAGAACGTGGTAGAGACATGCCGAAGCTGATACTGCAGCTGCAGAACTGCTTCAATATTTCATGCAGTTCTAAAAATAACTGTAATGGTAATGGTGTTGTTGACATTGGGATTTGCTTTATTGACGCCTGATGTGCTGACAAGCACATATTGATGCTTACTGTATTTTATTAAGTACAACATGACCTGTCATTCAGAACAAGGACAGCACAGGATGTACTGCACACATAACAATAAGGCCTTTATTAAAAGAAAACACACATCTTTGTCTTGGCTTCCTCTCACTATTTTACACACAAACACACACACACTGTGATTAGTTATGTATTAGTACTAGTAATGTTTTTTAACCCAACATAACAACAGTTACACTGAATTTCATTGATTTGTAAATGAAGATATAGAGACTTGAGTGTCAGGAAAGGCAACTAAAAAAAACACATCATTGGAACAAATGATGCAGGAAAAAAATCAACAGAGATGAAGTCACCAAATGTCCTCTTTGTGAACCAATCATTTCTTGCTGTTCGGGGCAGTGTATATTGATTTCATTCTGATTAGATTGAGCTTTTAAGTTCTTCTGACTAACAAAGTACTGTAGGCTGCCTTTAATTACTTTTCTATACAAACTGTGTTTACTCTCTTCTTTAATTGTCCCAATGGGGAAATATGTATTCGTTCACATCTGTGTGTAAACATCAAACATGCTTTGAAGCATGCTCTCCACTCACTTGGAATTACTGAACAATGGATGTCATCAAAGAATCTATGATAAACATCTTTCCTTAAAAGAAAACAATAAGAACTCATTATTAATTGTAATTAACTTCATATTTTCGTTTGACAATATGAAGACCCAAAACGTGTGTAAATAAAAAACAGGGATGTGCCGGTAAAATCACACACTGTTCATTCCATCTCCATGTGCAAAGTCTTAAAAGTCAACTTGGCGAGCAGCTTGAAGAGTGTTGTGCAGTTGGCAAGTGTTTGCGACAAATTTGCATGAATTATGAACCTAATTAAATGCCGATCAACGCCGCTCTAACATGCTCATTTCAGGTGAGCTCATGTTGGGTCTGGCAACCAGTCACAAATTACAAGCTATGAGACTATTTTATCTCCAGCTGGAGACATTTATTGCATGTCATTCCCCACCCATCCATCCACTCATTTCCTATTTACTCTAAAAAAAAAAAAAAGGCAAAATATATAAACATATAACACAATTATAGGAGTTTTTTTATTTTGATTTGTGAAGAGAAATCACAGAATTCACAGAAGATAAGAAAACTGCCTCTTTACAATTCTATTATGATTATTGCAATTGAAAAGTTTCTCTCATCTCCCCAAGCACCGGAAATCATTTCAAATTTAAGTTAATTACAAATGTAGCCTATATGTTACTTCATAGATGGAGACATTCAAAGATTTGACTTACCTTACTTTTTCATCACAGAATGGGTTCAGTATGGTTTTAGTCAGCTTGTTGTGTTAATCGCCTACTCTCATGTTCTATTTTCACTCAAGTGCAGTCTGTTTGTTTAAAAAAGGGTAAAGCAGAAAACAAAGGGTAAGTCAAGAATTCAAAACTAAGCTATTGATTCTATTTGCTGTTCATCTGAGTTGTTAAGAAATCAGTTATTGATCAGTCTCTTAGATCTGTGTGAATTTGAAAGATAGATAAAAAGTGAAACACATCAATTTGATGTCCTGCACATGTTTTTGAAAATGGTCTTGTCCGTCCCTGTGCGAGCAGCTTAGGGATGGAGCATGACGGCCAGGGGAACCGCTGCGGAGACGAGACGGCAATGGGAAGCGTGATGGCTCCTCTGGTTCAGGCTGCCTTCCATCGATACCACTGGTCCATGTGTAGCGGACAAGAGCTCAAGAGATACATCCAGTAAGTTCATGTTGACTTTCACAGAAAGGGGGGCGGACGGTTTCCAGGGCATTTTCTTAAATGAGTAGAATGATGTTCTGTTATAGATTACATTTGACTCAACGGCTGTCTTAACTAATCAAGCAGTGGTGAAAGGTGGCAGAGGTACAGTTTAGATGAATTCAAGGAAAATTACCAGGGATTTGCTTTGCAGTTAAGCCAATACAAATAAGCTTATTTATAGAGAAGATGTGTTGGTACTTTAATCATTCTGAAGGATTTATCAAAAGAAAATACAACTTTTTTTAAAAGGCATATCTTGCTGCTTTATCTGTGTTGCTTTAATTGTTAATAAAATTGTACAGGTGATGTTATCACAATTCCAAACTGGACAATGTGTTAAATAGTGAAGGATAGTTCTTATAAGCCACAACTGTAACACTTCATTAATCAACTGAAAAACATATAAGGTTGAGGATAAGTAGGGGAAGCTAATGGGTAGATGCATGGATGGTGTATCAACAAACAACATTTTATTTTTATTCTCATAGATCTTTTAAAGAAATGTGTACCTGGTGACGTGTTTCACCAGTAGATAAAACATTTCAAACCATTTTGTGATCTGAAAGTTAAAACTGTCACTAGTGTTTTTTTACAGCAATCATTTGGATTTGTTTATACTCTTGAAAACCACCATTACTGTACCTCCTTTTGAGAATGATTCTTTAAGCGCTAACACTGTTGGGTGTTCATTGCTAGCATTTGAAATGTCTTCCTTCACATAAAACGGTATCTTCCCATCCCTATAGACAGCACGCTGAGAGGCTCAGCGCATGCCTCCATGGTCTGTGTTCAGTTCACACACATTATGTTTCCCCCTCAGCTGCACAAGAATCAATTCCTGACCGGGAGAGTTCAGTAGAGAATGGCCACCAAACTACTGATGGCGTATTAGAGGAGATAACGACTGAAATGTGCAATCAATCGCCATACAGAGTCTTTTATGAAAGCAGCTCCAGGCTATATAGGTGAATCCATTGCAAGGACAAATCATTACATAGTGTGGAAAGTATAATTGCAGAGTGATAGTGAAGGATGGTTATGTGAAAGGTTTGTTACAAGGACAGCTGTGGCAGTGAGTCTTTATAGTTTAAAAAAAAAATCATTTTACACTTTTCAAAAAGCTTGTTTGACTTTACTAAGCTAGTCTGCTTCTCACCACCTGGCTGAATGAAGCCAAATCTGTAAAAAAAACAATATATATAAATGCATAACTACTGTTATTACACGATATCTGAAAGTTTTTAGCACCACTTTGTCGGAACATTCTCAGGTTTCAAAGTGGTTCATGTATCAACAAGTGAGCACTTTGGAGCTTTATAACAATAAAACACTCTGTTATGCAGTGCTCAGTGCTGCAGTGCTATGTAGCTGCTCACTAAGAACTACAACCAAATGTTCAATAGCAGCTGCTCTCAATCTGATGTATGCTTTGATTTGGTAAGAACACATGTATTTTTTATTGCCATTGTTTAAATTCAAACTCAAATTGTTTTTCATGTTAATCAGTGCATCATAGGGAAATCTACACCCTCTCTAAATACTGCAAATACTACAACAACCTAACTCTTTTATACACAGTTCCATAACTATATTTATCATGGTACCTTTGAAACCTCCATTGCCCTAATGTTTCCTTTCTACAAGTGTTGTTATGTTGTTTTATGAATTCAAACTTTTAAATGTGTGTTTGTGTTCCTGTTTTTTTAACATTCAATTTTCAAGCCCTTGGAGATACTTGACATCGTTTAATGTTTGTGCAAATATAAACAGTGGCAGCAATTAGAATAACTCAGAAAAAAAAGACTCTCAGGGCAGGGCAGTTGTAAGCATAGGACAGGACGGGCTTGTTTTTGGATGGTTTACATTATAATACATTATAATTTTATCTATATGTGCGTTATTGCCATAATAATGCAATTTTTCAAATTTCCAGCAGTGGGTGACTCATTTGGGATTGTTAAATATAGACTGATAAGTTTCCTTGATTTATTGTGACAAACTGATAAAATTTTTCGGTTGATTAATTACCTCAAGAAACATTGTCCAAATAAGTTCATGGTATCAATGTGTACTTTTAAGTCTTCATTGAACCAGTATATTTACATTTTTAAAATGATGGTCCCATTTCAAGATAAAGATTCAAGATTCCGTTTATTTGTCATTTGTCATGTATCTGTACATAGAAAAAGACAAAATGCTTTTCTCCCAACCCCAAGCAGTGTGACAGCATAAAAAATCATGTAACATATAGACACATAAATATACCTCAAAATCTACTAGTTCTAAAAGTACCATAAAACAGGATCAGTCACAAACACTTCAAAAGTCTCTACGGTGGGAAGAAACATGTTGCAAAGTCATGGCAGCAAAAATGTAGAGCTAAATCGCAGATAAAGCAGGATGTTTTAGGGCATGGCTAACTGTGATTGAAAATTACCAACAGCTGCAACCAATGAATCAGGGCAGCGGTTAAGCAATATGTTAACTTGTGGTAAAAAAACAAATAAAAAAACAAGAACAAAACAAGATTGCAGTGGGCACAATAAATGCCAAACTCAAAATAATAAACATTATTTCCCAAATTGCTGATCACAATAACCATTTTGGTTTCTTCAAAACAGTCTATGGTTGTTATGGGAACAGATGAACAGAAAGGATCTGTTATGTGTGATTTAATAGCTGCAAACAATATCAGCAGCATTTAAATTTCCTTGTGAGCAGATTATCATGGAAACGCTTAATACATCCTCTTCTTCTTTTTATCTCTCCTTGCAGCACGTATGACTGTCTTTTGGACGACCCCTTCAAACACGACTGGCCACAGCTTCCTGAACTTCCCGGCATCAACTATTCCATGGATGAGCAGTGTCGCTTTGACTTTGGAGTGGGATATAAAATCTGCACATCAGTGAGTTCAAGCAGCACACTTTGTTTTACTGGCCAGGCGTTACCTGTACAGTGTGTGATTATCCCCCCCCTAAAATGTGTGTCACACTGTAAATATCAACAGAGGACAACAGAGGACAAGAGAAAAAACAGAGAGAAGTCATTTATTTTAGGAGTGTTGAGAAAAAGTTGTCATCCAACTTAGTTCTTGGAGTAAGTTCCCCAAAGCATTTTTTAGAAGAAGGAGATGATGAAAAAAGCCAACCTCCCTAAAACAGACCCTAAGACTTTGGACCAGTAAGCACTTCTAAGAGACATCTGATTACTTCACAGGACCCTCTGGCTTGTTCTCTGCAGGTGTCAAGGCGATAAATATTTTGTGGTTTGTACAACTAATCTTCTTTAATCTATCACATTTTTATCCAAAGGATGAGTAAAGATGCTAATTAGAGGGCTCTTACAGTCGGTCTGAATAGCCTAAAATGGAAGTAAATGGTGGAACGTAAACAGGCTGAGTTAGAACAAAAAAGAAGAAAAAAAATCAAAGTACCAGGTGGCTTGTTAATCAACCCCTCCTGAGATAATCTCTCCATTTTTTGTTATGCCAGTATATTAAATAATTAGAAGGTCAAGAGGCTCCATGTGCAATTTGTCAGTATGTCAGATGAGTATTTGTCGCTGTCCAGACACAGCCACTAAAATCCAGCAACTTCTGAGGAAATTAAATTTCCGTTTGTCTTCGGAAGCGTAGATTTTTTGCAAAAGTCCATCATCAATTAGAACCAAAAACAAGTGGTGGGAAAATTTAGAATTTTATTTATGAACTAAAAATCCAACACCTCAGTACTTGGGTCCTTCTATAAAGCATTTGTGCATCTTTCAGCTCATTATTTTGGTGTCTGTGCCCAGTTTATTTTTAATCTCGTGAATTTCATCAGTGTGTTGACAGTGAAAAATCTGTAAGAGAAAAAATGGAAGATAGGTAAAGTGGGAAACTTTAGCTGTGGGGAAAAGGGGCTCAACTAGCACTCAATCAACTTGATTTCTGACTCTATCCACTGTCCTATCTCTCCATTAAAGGCACAAAAAGCCCAAAAAATCTTTAAAAGAAAAATATATACTTTATTAATGCCAGAGGGGACATTCTGCAGCCTCCAGTGCTCTTGCGGCTCCATATTTTGGCCAATACTTGTAATTGTTTTGTGCAAGCTTACAGTTCACAGACAGGATGCTGGAAGTATTTTCCATTTATTTTAACAATATGACACATTTAAGATTTTTGTCATTGCTCTGCATGTGTGATGGTCTCCAACAATCTCAGGCTGTAGCTTTTAAACCCTTCTCCAAGATGGGCATGAGAAAGATAACAATAGTTTATGATACAGTCATACATCAAATCATATTCGTTCATGTGTTCCCTTTGCCACCAGTTTGTCTTATTGCAGCTCCATGCTCAAATCTTGAGTTATTCATAGATGCTGATAGACTGCTGTCAGCAATATAACTTCCTCCACTCGCCTCCCTCTGAAAAATTAGTATTTTTTTATGAAATATAGGACTATAAAAAGACTGCTCTGTCAGATTATACATTGTGACCAGATAAAGAAATGGGGATGTTGGCAAGAAATGTGCACTGCATGTTAAATAAGTACAAGAGATCCATATACTATAAATAATTTGATATAATTTATTCATAGTTCAGCCAAAATCATAAATCTGTCCAATCATTAATTGTGTGCTCCTTCCATTGACTAGAGAAATACAACAAGAAGCTGTGGAAAACCCTTTATCACAGCAATGATCTCTTCATTATTGAATTTCCTAGAGTCAAACTGCAGACAGTCACACAGTTTATTTTCAATTTGTCCATGCTTGCATTTTTTTAAGGTTTATTTTTGTGCTTCATGCCATTTATTTTAGAGATAGGACAGTGCAGAGATTGAGAAATCGGGGAGAGAGAGTGGGGAATGGGATGCAGGAAAGGAGCCACAGTTTGAATTCCAAAACCGGGCCACCCGCTTGGAGGAATATATCCTCCTTACATGTGGCGCACACTAACCATTAGGCTACAAGCTTCCCCATGCTTGCATTTTTAAACTTTGCATCCCCGTTGCTACTATACGTGCTCAAAAATCTCCATCATTTAAAACTTTTCTGGAACAATTCAAACTAACAACAAGTACAACCCAGTCTCACATAGTTTGTAAAATGAGGTAGTCATAAAATGTTGATATGTAGCATTACATGTGTGGAAGTAATTGCGCACACAGACAAATCGAGACCAACAGGATGTCAAGAGAAATAGCTATTCAATTAAACTTTCACTGTCATATACTGTACACTGCAAAATTATTACCAGAAATATTTGTTTGTATATTTGTTGGGCTTCCCAGACTCCTCTGTTTGATGTTAATAAAACACAAAGCCAGAGCTCCAGTCTGAATTATGGGAGCAGCAAGTGTGAAGTGCAGGCTGATGGATTACTTGCCCGTATTTATTTTTGTGTAACAGGCTAAAAAGGTTTTGTTTGTTTGTTTGCAATTAAAGCCGCTCAATCCAGCTGATTGTCTTGTGTGCCTCTGCAAACACAGAGCCACTCGCCCAAGCACATTGAGCAAAATTGGAGAATTCAATTCTGCAGAGTTCAAGTATTTCGGTCGATCTATGAAGTCCTAATGAATGAGATGGACAGAGGAAGTGGTTTTTGAACATTGACCCCTTTTAGTAGAGAACAAGCTCCAATTGCAGTCTTTTTTTTCTTCTTGGTTCAACTATTTTAAGTGAAAAGCCCCAATTAAATTGTTCAGCGTGAGTCAGTAAGTGTTTATTTAATAAGTATACTTGAAAATGGTTTATCAGGTATAGCAGCACATTTAGCTCAACAAGACAGTACTTAAGGCAGAAGGCAAAAAATACCTTACCTTACAAGTACAGCAAAATATACTCATGGAAAGTAAAAATATTTAATAAGTAAAGTAATATAGATCCCACAAAAAGTAAAGATTCCTTTGTCAACAGATCAATGTGGATAATTCAAGACTTGGATTCTTAAAGCCTGAACACTGCAGGGGAGATAGGTGCTCAGCAAAAGTACAAAAGTTGACTATATTTCCCAGAATTTCTTTACAGAAGCTTTAAGGGTGTGTTGAACATTTCCATCATAACACAGTTTAGAACTGTTTGAATCCAATAAGCGAAGAGGGAGCAGATGATTTTCATCTGAGCAAAATAAACTTCTTTCATGATCAAAACTACTGAAAAACTATTGTTTAAACAAATGTGTGTAGTCTAATGAAATCAATGTGGTTTAAATTAACATCAAACTTGAGCTTGGGCGGCTGTGGCTCAGTTGGTAGAGGTGTCGCTTTTCAACCGGGAGGTCGAGGGTTTGATTCCCAACTGGACAACATGTCCAATGTGTCCTTGGGCAAGACACTTAACCCTGAATTGCTCCCACTGCTTCAGTGGCGGTGTATGAATAGGATTAGTGCTATATAAGCTCAAGACCATTTACCATTATCTGCTTCATGACTGTCAGCAATATCTCTCCATAAGGAAGAGATCATTGACCACATTCAGAATCTCTTGGCCGACTGTTGAAATGATAAAGGAACGGTTCTGAGAAGCAATTTTAGGGGCTCATGTTTTTCACAAAGCCTCTGCGTATAGAGACACTCCAGGCAGCTGTAAACCACATTTATGAGTTTGCTCAAATCAATCTGATCATGTGTTCTAATCCTTGAAAGAGACGTTCGACTGACTTCCCTGGAGAGGAGGTTCACAATAAATTGCCTCCTCCCCCCCATAATCCACTCAGCTTTAGTGCCTCTGATAGTGGAGCCCACAACACTTGTAAACAACAACTGGCTCACTGTCGGCTGTCGGTGAGATATAAAGGATTGAGACTATGAAATTCTGAGTCAACTCTTCAAAGTAAATTCTTCGAGTTTTGCAGTATTCTTCACTCAGCCAGCTCAACCATACACATTCTTGTGAATGCTATATCTCAGGAATACAATGGGCAAAGATCTCTGAAATTTTGCTAAAATGTTCAATTGTTTTCGATGACGAACAGATAGGAATGTTGAGCTCAAAGGTCAAGGTAAGGCTTCTCATTAAAGGTTGTTATTGCTATCTAATTTAAGCCAGAAGAGAATAAAGGTCCACTCAATGACTCAATGATAATCTATACCATTTTTGAGTAAAGATAATTTTGTGATAAGCCCCCACTAAGGTGAACTAAGAGGGAGACCGCATAGTTGTGAATTATTTAACAAATAATCTTTGAAAACATACAAATCCACCTAATAAACAGATACCCAGTCTGAGGATCAGTGTTGACTGCCATGATGGATGTTTGTGGTGTTGTAACAAGGAAAACAAACCAACAAGTTTGGTGATGGCAAGCAGGAGCTAGAGAGGCGTTACTGCATGCAGTGTGCAATGGCAAATAATGAGCAGCTCTTGGGGATTTGTGGATGCCACGACAGGGATTTTATTTTTAAATCAGTGATGTAACACCATGATCAAGACAGTATGAAATGAAACATTGAGTCTTTCAGGCTTTTTGTAGCAGTGAAGTTATTTCTACTTGATTTTTCAAATACAGTATGTGCCAGCTCACTTCTCAAACTTCTTTTCTGTGTTTCAGTTTCGTACATTCGACCCTTGTAAACAGCTGTGGTGCAGTCACCCGGACAACCCTTACTTCTGCAAAACCAAGAAGGGTCCACCTCTGGATGGAACAGAGTGCGCTCCTGGAAAAGTAAGTCTGTCTTTGAAATAATTGGCCAAAATATGCAGACACCCAATAGAAGCCAATAAAGGAGATACATCATCAATATACATGTATACATATACTGTATGTATAACTCTATTATTCTTATCATATCCAAACTAAAAATACAGCATATATCAAATGTAAAATCTGTGATTATCACAAGTACTGCTTCAACAAATTTTCTTGAACATCTCATTCCAAACCCCAAAAAACCTCAACTCTTTCCATGGAGTTTTTATCCCACCAGATCTTGATTTTTTGGCTTCAGAGATTTTTTCTCTTCAGCCACAAGAGCATAAGCAAGGGTCCAATACCGGTGTTTGGCGATGAGGTCTGGCTAACAGTTGATGTTCCAGTATCTAAATGTGTTGGATGGGTTTAGGATGCAGGCCATTTAAATTCTTCCACGCCAGCCTGGAAAATAACCTTTATTTTATTGACTTGGAAAATTGACACACATTTGGAAGCACACTATTGTCCAAACTGTCATTGTGTTATGTAACATCTAAATTTCCCTTTACTTGAACTATGGAGCTGAACATGAGCTTTCAGAATATCCTCAGACCCAAAGAACACATCTGCTCCTGACCACATATATTTGGCATTTAGTGTATTCACAAATTTCCCTGTGTTAACATTTAAAAAGTGTATAAGAATGTTGTTTTCTTTTTGGCTGACTTTTGCTCTCTCCTCAACCCTGTCCTCCTGAGCAGTGGTGCTACAAAGGTCACTGCATGTGGAAAAACCCTAATCAGGTCAAGCAGGATGGTGCCTGGGGCTCCTGGAGTAAATATGGTATCTGCTCGCGCTCCTGTGGAACTGGAGCTCGCTTTCGGACACGTCAGTGCAACAACCCAGCGTAAGTAGAAATTGCACCAAAACCATGGTATGATTATATGTTTTGGAAGATTGACTTAGTTAGTTGCCCTCTTGCCAAGAGTTATATGAGAAGATTAATACAACTGTTATGTCCAGTAAAAATGCTGATTCATTGAAATTTCCACATCCAAAGTCAAAGTCAAAGAGTTTTATGAAATCCAACTGCATGCACATGTTCACTGTGGGCAGACACATTATATTCACAAGTTGATGGTCTATCTTCATTTATCTTCAGGTTTTCCCCCCCCATTCTCATCAGTGCAAAATCATAAAATTATGATCAAGATCATTTTTTTATTTTTATTTTGGCACAACCATCGGCCTGAACTCAATAATAAAGTCATGAGATGTGGTGTTCAAAATCGAATCACTTATTTCTATCTTTTTAACAACTGCAGATTGACCGGTTGGTGGAAGCATACCGTGTACTAAGTGATTACTGACAAAGTGCTGCTGCGCCAAAATGCTGTAATGCTTATAAACCTAATAGCCTAATAGCCTAAAAGTGGCATAAGTACTCAGACTATGGGCTACATTAAAGTAAATGCCATTTTTGTGAGAATTCAAAGTAATACAGACAACATCTAAGTGATAATGCTCCCCAGAATAAAACTAATTTAACCTGTAAAAAAAAAATCAATACTTATTACATCACATTGAATGGATCACATCACAAAACAATTACTTTAAAAACATTAAAGACAACAAACCACATTATTAAAAGGGCTGTGGCGGTCCACGTCACTGTCCGTGGTGCTGAAGCAAGAAGGTGACAGGGAAAGATTGCCTAATCGTCACTTTGTGCATGAAATATGAATCTATTTTTATTTTATTCTATCACCTCTGCATGTAGAGGAATGACATTCTCCTATCCTTCATTGCGGTGAAACAAGGGAGGCACGATATGAAATCACAGAGAAAACAGAACCTTCACAAAGTGTAGTGTCTTTAATTACATCTATTTCTACTTTATGTCCAATCCATAGAATAAGGGGCAAGTGAGCTGGTGTTTAGAGTTAGTGACGCAATCTGTCTGTCTGTCTGTCTATCTCTATCTCTGTATCTCTGTATCTCTGTATCTCTGTATCTCTGTATCTCTGTATCTCTGTATCTCTGCCTGTCTATCTTCCTCTCTATCTATACAGAAAAATGACTCCCAGTCAGATCAGCACCTCTGTTGTTCGTCTGTTTCCTTCCCTCAGGCCCTCAAACGGTGGCCAGGACTGCCCGGGAGTGAACTACGAGTATCAGCTGTGCAACACTGATGACTGCCCCAAGCACTTCGAAGACTTTCGAGCCCAGCAGTGCCAGCTCCGCAACTCCCACTTTGAGTTCCAAAATGCCAAACACCACTGGCTGCCCTACGAGCATCCCGACGGTAAGCCAAAAAATGTCACCAGATTGTTTTGTTTCAGCGTGAGACTGGAGTGTTATTAAAAGCTAAAAAAAAACAAGTTAGTTTTAGACACATAGCGACCACATTTACCTCCAATACAGAACGGACATTTTAAAGTGGTTTTGTGTTTTTACATTTTTTTTTTATTTAGTTTTTGTAGTATTTTGCACTCTCTTCTCCTTTCGGTCTCCCTCCACTCTATGCAGAATTTAAAACCATTCAAGCACAAAATGTGCCCTTTCTGCAAAGGTGATGGTTTTGCAAACCCTGTATCCCATTTCAGTCTCTGTTCTTTATCAGACTTTTTATCCAGCTTCGCTTCATGGAGCCGTTTGTCACTTATTGCACCCAAATTGATCTGAGCTTTGAAGGTCAGTGAGGTGGAAAAGGAAGTGGGACAGCCTGCTGAGAAACTATAGGGAGGCGAGACTGACAGTGGGAATCCATCATTATGTACTGTAAAGAGCTTTTCTGTGGACAGCAGTGCATTTTATTAATAAGGTCATCAAATAAGTTAAAAGGTACATGGGGAAAAAAAAAAGTTTTTTTACAAGGCCATATTTCTGAGTGTTATTTTAGAATGAATGTCATGGTATACTCAGTATGTTATAGATTTATGTTTATGCAACAACTTGTGTGTTATATTCAAATATACATAAAAACTCCTTTTATCAAATCGTGATTCAAGTTTGTAAAATACAATGGAAAAAAAAATCCCAACTCCCAATGCATAGATTGTGTCACGCTTTATTCATCTTTAATGTAGATGAGAGAAAAGCTCAAGTCAATGATCAAAGACTATCATTTACAGAAATACACACATTTACACATCAAATAAACACTTTAATCAAACTGAAATAAATCAGCTGTGTGATAAGACAAGAAAAGATGTGAAACTGTATTTGAACAATATGAATGTTGCTTGTTGTTGTTTCTTCTTACTCTCCTGGAGTAGGAGCAAAACATCAAGTGAACATTCAGTGAAGAGCTTGCTTTCATGGTCTTACATCCATTGATATTGCAAGAGTATTTAAAGACTGGAATGGAACTTTCTCCAGAATGACTTGAAACTGGCAGATCGTATTTCATTTGAAGCTTAAAAATAAAAAAAATGCCAGACCCTTGTAGAGTGCCTGTGTTTTTGTAAAGATAAGATAAAGATAAAGATAAACTTTATTGATCCCCCGTGGGGGAAATTTGTGCATTACAGCAGCTCCAGAAAACAGGGGACGGGAATATAATTATTAAAAATAGAAATAGAAGTTAAAATCAAATCAAACATATTTACATCAGTTAAATAAAAAAATACAATAATGTAAAATTACACAGTAACCAAGGGATTTGTTCTTAAAAAAACACACACACAGTGTGTAGCATGAGGTGGTGATGCTGTTAAATAGTCTGATTAAACAGTCTGATGGCAGATGGGATGAACGACCTGCGGTAGCGCTCTGTCTTGTAGGGTGGGTGTCTGAGTCTGCTCCTGAAGGAGCTGCTCAGGGCCCCCACAGTGTCATGCAGGGGGTGAGAGGGGTTGTCCATGATGGATGTCAGCTTCACTAGCATCCTCCTCTCACCCACCTCCTCTACAGAGTCCAGAGGACAGTCCAAGACAGAACTGGCCCTCCTGACCAGTCTGTTCAGTCTCTTCCTGTCTCTCTCCGTGCTCCCTCCTCCCCAGCAGACCACTGCATAGAAAAGTGCAGACGCCACCACAGTGTCATACTATACGTCATACGTCGTACTGTAATCTGTTATCACAACTTCTGCACTTTATGTGTGAACTCATTTGCACATTTTAATTGTTGTTGCAGTTAAGGTTCAAGGTTTCTTTATTCGTCTCCCTAGGGAGAAATTTGTCTAGGATGCTGGGAAATTGCTGCATGGACAATACATTGAAAACGACATAAAAACAGTAATTACAAATGTGCAAAAAACATTTAACTTCTCCGTGCTACAATTCACCCAAGCGTCTGCTTACTTATCCATACACATACACACACACACACACACACACACACACACACACACACACACACACACACACTCACTCCTACAGTCACAGGCGCATGCACATGCACACTGTGCACATGTACACATGCCACTCCAGACAGTTTCATACATACATATATGTCTACAGTTATCGGTACATTGGGGGCCTCCTGGTTTTCCGTTCCTCTTCTATTTTTTGCTCATTAATGAGCTTAACTGAAAAAGGAACTAGTGAGTTTTTGAAGCGGTTGTGTTTGCACAGAGGAACCCTGTACCTTCTCCCTGAGTTCAACAAAACATATTCAGAGTGCAATACATGGGAAGTGTCCGATAAAATGCCCTTGGCCTGTGTTATTGTGGCCTGCTCAAAAAGATCCTGGGGGGTAAGAGGGGCACACATGCCCATGATCTTGCCTGCTGTCTTAACCAGGCTGAGGATCTGAGCTTTAGATTTTACTGTTAAAACACCAAACCAGCTGGTGATGCCATACCGTAAAATGGACTCTATTGTTGCTCTGTAAAAGATGAACATAATGTTTTTACATACACTAAACACTTTTAGTCTCCTGAGAAAATGGAGGCGCTGATTTAACCTATTGTTTGTGAACTGTTTCGTAATCGTGTAATGATTATTATGGCATGTGCTGCTGCCTTCTTGGCTAGGTCACACTCGTGAAAGAGATCTTGATCTCAATGGTTTAATTAGCTGCTTAAATAAAGGTTAAAAATACAAAAAAAGAGACAACCTTTTCCCACAATGAAATACTATTTGTTTGTTTAAATTGCACAGGCTTTCTCAAATGGATTCAGAACCTTTTAGCTCATGATCTGTATTAGGGTTGGTTGTTCTGTGTTTACTTTTAACCTCATTATTTCAATCCCTGCAGCAATAACAAGGGGTAAAAATGGTGATGGGGGTTTTAAAAATATTAAATCAGGTTAATCTACCAGATGCCAATTAAAACAAATTGCCTGCTTGAATCTAAACAAAAGGCTTTGTTGTTGGCAATAAATCTCTCTGGTATTTTAATAACCCTCCATGATATCCTTCATTTCCAGCACCTTATTAATAACCATCCTACAACAATCTAATGATCTATTATATTGCAGCCAACAGGAGATGCCACTTGTACTGCCAATCGAGGGAGACCGGAGACGTGGCTTACATGAAGCAGCTGGTGCATGATGGGACGCAATGCTCCTACAAAGATGCTTACAGTATCTGCGTGCGTGGGGAGTGTGTGGTGAGGACTTGTTTAAAGAACATGTGTTTGACGTATTAAAAGATGAATGAGGTTATTAAGGCCATTACCAGCCTCGGTCTGTTTGAAGGACATTTCAGTACACGGTGTGATTAGATCCAGAGCACGCGTGCAGTGCTCTCTTAAAGGCAGCATTCATGTACAGTTCAATGTTTCTGATAATGTTTTGATTCAGATATGTGTGTTCAGAGATTTCTGTTTGTATAAGTTAATTACAGCGTAGAATAATTGAATATTTAACTGCGTAATTAGGTAAATGTTGACTCTTTTGAAGCCTCTTTTCTTTTAAATGTATTAAATAAATAAATTTGAGCTTAGAGCATTAAAACAGTACTGCACATTCAGAAGGAAGTAGTTTTAGCAGGTATTTCCAACTTTTAAAGAATACCTACAGTACTAAGTTGGAAAAGTGAGATGGTTTTTGCAAGGCTAGTGAAAAGGTATAAAATATAGGAAACACTTAAAATGTGTCCAAAATGGTCTCAAGTGATACATATTATTTCTGTGTTGGTCTTCAGAAAGTTGGCTGTGACAGAGTGATCGGCTCTACCAAAGTTGAGGACAAATGTGGAGTCTGTGGTGGAGACAACTCCCACTGCCGCACCGTTAAAGGAACCTTTACCCGAACACCAAAGAAACCTGGTAAGCACAAAACACAATGTCTGTAGACAGAGACCTTTCATAAGAACTGAAGGTTTTTTTCCAATCCTTTTCTAGAAATTCATGATACACTACAAGTGGATGTTTAATTAATACGTCTTCTACTAATTCTGCAATCTTTTTATTTTTTTGAGAAGGATTTAAACCATTGCTTCTTTTCCTGTTTATGAAGGCCTGTGTAAGAAGTAATAGGCGAAGGCAACTCTCTGAGGCAATGCAGCTTGTTGACTAGTTCACTTTCTTCAACATTTACATCTCCATGACTTATAACTCATTGATGTACACTTTAAGAAAAGTACTGGTGTTATCCTATAACCAGAGCTGGGCACACATCTGTTAATCTTTCAATTATCAGTGTTCATTTTTATTCATTTTTAACTTAGATGTTAATAAATGATAATCGACACTTTAAACTTGTTTAATTATATCCAAACCCCGCTCTTACATGCTGAGATGGATCACAGTGAGTTTCTGTGAGATAGACAGATTTGTAATTTAGATTTTTCTAAGTCATCATGGCCTCTTAGGAAATCATTGACAATACTGGGTAACTGCAGTCTTAATAATTAACTTCAGTTAATGATTAACTTCAGTTAATCATTAACTTCAGTTAACGGTTAACAAAGTAAAATGTTTCATTAACTGGGCCCAGCTCTGCCTATAACACTTTATTTTCAAAACCAACACAACAACATAAACAACCGTCAGAACTTTCTGTCTCTTCTTTCACTCTTAGTCCAACATAAATTTAGGAGAACATCTCACAACTTATGTGGTAGAAAATAATATATGTCTTTGGCACAGAGCATTAAGATGTATCAGTCTTACATTCAGATACATTTACATTAAAGGTTTGCTCAGTTATGAGAGAGATGAGGAGTCTAACAGAAGAACGATATAGTATTACAAAAATAGGGTGTTTAAGACCATGTTTAAGATGGTCTATAAGGTGCAGTCATTTTCTGCGTCCTCAAAATAGGAATGCGCTAGCTTTGCGCCTGACCACACCTTATTTTATAAGAAATACATCCCTGGGCACTAATAGGGGTACACGTTCATTAGCTTTTTAAACAACAGGAGTGCTTGGTGTAAAACGGACAAGTGGAAAATGGAAAGACATCTGCACTGCGAACCAAATTACTTTGTGCCGGGCTTATGATAGGGCTTCAGTTGAGCACATCATGTACAACTAAGAAAAAAAGAGTCTACACAGTCATCCACTATTGGCTCATTCCTAAACCCTTTTGCACACTTCTTACCCAGCTCATATGGTCTCATGGAGTCTGTCTAGATTGTTTCCTTTGAGAAAATGGTCTTAGGTGTCTTAATCCCAATAATCACATAAATAACCCAATGAGATATCTCAGACTCTTCATTTTGTGGAAATTAAAATTTCATATACATCCCATGTGCCACCTTTGATGTAACTAGTTTTTCCATTCCTTCCTTTAATTTCAAGGGAACATTATTTCCTCTGCATTTGCATGTGGAGAGGATTGTTTTTGCCTACAATACTCTGATGAGCATGAAATCCTTTGGCAAAGAATAAAAAAGCATGTCGATAGGGCTCAAAAACTCATGTTGATTAGCCAACCAGATTCACCCAATTACCACCAGTAAACATTATAGTAGTCATTTTGGTTTATTTTTACTGAATCTTTTGATTTTAGATTTTTTGCTTTTTACTGCCTTTTGGTTTTGTTCTTTAAATCCAAAAGCCAATAAAACTGAAGACATCTAGCTTCTTAAAATAGAAATAAAATAACTGCAGTACATGGTAATCAAGGCCAAATTGGACACAAATAAAATGTATCTTCTTTTATGGAATCACATTTATTTCAGGAATTGCAGCATATTAAATAAATGTTGAGTGTCTTGTTGTGCCATACGTTTAATGATATATCTCATCAACGAGTCAATTGGTTATTTTACTAGCAGAGCAGAAGCAGCTGGATTGGAATCTATATTTTTCTGAGAAATATCAACAACATTGGCACTGCAATCAAACATCTCAGGAAGTGCAATATTTACCCCCTGAGAGCATTCTTCCTGAGTACTCAAAATGAGCTTACTGGGGCAAAAATAGAAGAATTGAAGATGATTACACCTACAGTATATCACTACCCCTCTATGCAAGATGCAGAGTGTGGATGCAGCAAACTATGTACCGTCAAGTTTGGGGTAGTCACAACTGTGGATCCAAAAGCAGTCTTCTAGATCAAATTGATTTATGAAGAAAAAGCAAAACAAAAGGTTTTAATGGGGTCTATGTGAAGCATGAAAGAAAAATCCATAAAGCAGAACAACAGTCCAGAAATATCTAGTAATAACAAACGGGGTGATGTCTGAAGAATCCAAAGAAATGTGAAAAGGTCCAGAACAAGAACAATGCAGGAACTGAAGAAAAAATCAACTGGTATGAAACCTTGAGCAGATCTAGACTCATATTGAATAGCCATCTGCTGCCACTGCATTGTGCTTGTATAGAGTGATAGAGGGAGATGCAGAAAAAAAAGAGACTGATAGAGAAACAAATTGAGCAACAGCAGATAATACAGATGTATGGCTGTAGTGTCATAAACAATTGTTAAAGAAAGTGTTATATTGACAATGCTGCAGTAATCATAGACTTATCCTGAACTATTAACATTGACAACTGTAATTATAATAATATGGTGAAGACTAATAATGTCAATCATGGCAGAGATGCTTGGCAGAGTCAAGCGTAAAAGTATCATTCATAATTGTCAGATAATAATTAGAGTACGAGCAGGTAGGTCCATGGCAGCAGGCCATCCACATCAACAATCCACAGAAATTTATCAGACAGGGGAGCCCAAATACTTCCGGTCAAATATATTGTTAGTTACAGTACCTTAATGCATTGATACTCAACCCGAGGCTCTCGAGCCGCATGTGGTTAATTTGGGACTAGTTGTGGCTCTTTTAGGTCCTACTTGGATAAAAAAAAAAATTGCAAGTCATGTCACTGTGTTTCCCACACATATTTTAGGAAAGAAAGAGGTTTTTTGATTGTGGCTCTTGCAGAAATATCTTTTGGTCAATTTTGCAAGTCTAACAAGGCTGAATACCACTGGCTTAATGGGTCATGCATTTTTAAAGTTACATGCTGTAATATGACATGAATGCATAAAAAAAGGGATGATTGGATGCAAAGTTAGTATCAACCCTGGGTACAGGATGCTTTGTCGATGTGTATATGTTTTCTAGGAAAAAACAAAAAAAGCAACAACCCGTTTTGTTGAATAAATGTGACTGACAATTAGTGATGAAAAACCACAAGTAAGAGAAAGAGTCTGCCCTTTTGTACTGATTTGCATGAGACCATAGAGGTGTTTCTGAAAGTGTGTCAACCTCCTGTAGACCTCCATGTTTTTTTCAAAGTTGATGAAGTGCAGAATTTGCATTTACAGCTAATAAATGAGTCTATTTGGAGGATGCAGAGTGACAATGAGGTGTGCTGAGATCCTGTCAGCTGTCACAGACATCAACCCCCAACAGCAGGGTTCATTTGGATTTCAACCTTTATTAATTAGCTGAGAAATAATTGAGTCCCTCTCTTTGATTTATTCATTAATAAAGTAAGGAGTTTTCATATTTAAAAGTTTGTTTAAGAATGTGGACTATATTTTTTCTATCAACGTTTTCAATTCCCAACTGCTTCCCCCAGGTAATCTCTGTACTGCAGTCACACAAGGGCACACACACACACACACACACACACACACACACACTTAGGCACATGCACATTATGCACACACATTCCTGATGACAGCCTCTTCTGTCATGAATAATTTGTCTTTAAACTTCTTCAAACACGGTGATGTCAAAAAGTCATTGAAGGTCTTCAGAGGAAGAATTAAATGGAACCATTTGAGGATGTTCTTTGTTGAAACTATCATTATTTATTTTTTTCATTTTCTTAACATCTAACTCTCATGTAACCACCCGCATTTCTTAACAGGGAAACAGTTAAGCAAGAGAGCCCAAAAAGAAACCCCTATGTTGGAAAACACAATATGCAAGTATCCAGTGTTACCATCACATCCTCTCTCATATAGCATTGTCTGTCCAGCTTGTAGTGCAGATGGATGCCTAACGCTGTAGAGATGTAGAACATGAGATATAGGCTGCTGTGTCTTCAGTGTCTTGTTACTAATTGTCTATTTAGGCCTGAATCACCGGTCGCCATTTTTGCAGGTTCATTATCAAGTCGAGTGTGTAAAGCTCTAAGTGAGAAGAAGATCATTATGATGATATGTGTGGTAATTCAATCTTAATGTATCTTGAGCTTCAACAGCCCGAGCAAACCAAGTTTAAATATCTGTTCATTGAAAATTTGCAAGCATTGATTGCAATCTTGAACATTAACAGCTGTTTATGACTGATTGAACCTTGATTGGCATGATGATGCTCGGTTCAACCCAAGCTTCAACACCTAATACATCTTCTTTTTAGACAGCAAGCCCTTATGAAAGGATTTCTATAGGTCTACAACAAATCACCAATTCAATGTCATGCTCAGGGTGGGAAGCTCAGGTTCTGTTATAAAAAGTCATACAGCTGCGTTCCAAAGAAGAAGAGGGAATCTGACATTGAAATAACGATAAGGGAAACTAGAGTCTCATCTGGCCGTATTTTGAAGAGGTGACAAGATATTATCTTCGCATAATTCTAATATTTAGCTGCACCCTGGCTCATTTAGGTGTTCTTGTGAGGTGTAAGCTATCTTACAGTAACAGATATATTGTATGTGTATTATTGTGGAATCTGTAGGTTAATGTTAAAAATCTTTGGTGTCTGAAGTGTCGGACCAGTATTTTCTGCTAGAATTGTGCAGGCTTTTTGGCCATCATCTGACTGCAATCAAGCTTTAATTAATCTTGCCATCACTCCCAGAGGCTATCTCTTTGTTGAATGTTATCTGATGGGTTTACAGATTGGACCGAATTTGAATGCTAACGCTAGCTTTTGTCACAGGAGAGAAAATTCATTTTCAATCGCGTTGTTTTACTCTCAAATTTGAAAAGACTGAATCTGTATGTTGACTTTTCTCTATGTGATCCATCACGATATGATCAAGTCCGAATAATTCATCAGATTTCATTTACACAACTCAGCAGTGCTCGGTAATATAAGCATTTGAGCTACACTGCTATCTGTTGTAGCGTGTTGTGAACCCTGTGTCAGCGTGCCAGTTTTCATCACCTCTGTGACACCGCTGCGTCACTATCAGGAGGCCCCCAGTGAAGGCCTGCCTGTCAAACGTTAAGACAAGTAATTACACGGCTGCTGTTCAGCTGATTGGCAAGAGCCACCATGCCAAAAAAAAAAAAAAAGTGAAGTCTGCCACCTCATCCTCTGGTTGTTGCTATGCTAATTAAATGTGCTTCATCTGTAGGTGACGTTGTTGCAGAGAAACTGTGATACGGGAAAAATTGGACTTTGAGACTAACTAACTGATTCCTTCTTCCATTTATTTCTAAGGGAAAACCAGAGGAGCCTTCTCTTTGCCCAAAGGAGCAAGAAATGTGTTTTTAAATGAAACGGAAGACTCTAAAAATGTACTTGGTGAGTTATGTTAGGTTTGTAAGTGGTGGACATCATGGACAGAGGACTTTGCTGCCCTATAGTCTGTAAAAACCTGCTCTTTATGCCCTATTGAATCCTTAGTGAAAGCTCTTTTCATTCACATTCTGTCTGTAACAAAACATGAGGACACATGAAAGAGACCTTCACTTCCTCGGATGATCGTAAATAGTTCTAAAGCAGAACTATAATATATCTAAATCCAAGAGTCCTTTGAACAGGGAGCTTATTTAGAGCAGACGCCCCCGTGTTCAGAGGCTTTAGTCCTCAACTTGTCACAGGTTCAACCCCTGATTCTGATGCAATTTTGTGCACGTCATCTTGCATCCTCTACCCACATTTCCTATATCCGGCTGTCCTGTCAAATAAGGGCAAACGCCTTGGAAAAGTGTCCTTTGATTATGCAACAGATGGATGTGAATGAACTGCGCGTTTCCATGAACGCTTTCCCTGCAGGCTCTAACAGCAAGAAGGATATTCAACGTAGTTTTCTGTTTTTTTCCTAAAGTGTCTTCAATCATCTTTGTACTGTAGAGCAAAGGAAACTAAAACTTCTGTAACATGTGTGATGTCCACCACTGCAAACAAGTAGACTGATTCTTTATCCACCCTTACTCATCTGTCTCCTTTTTCCTATCTTTCCTAACCCCTCCTCTTCTGCTTCTGCTGCTGCTGCTGCTCCTGCAACAAACACGGCAAAGGTTACCTTAAGATGTTTCACATTCCTCCCGGAGCAAGACATGTGATCATCCAAGAACACGAGGCCTCCCCTCAAATTCTTGGTAAGTGTGACTTCCAAAATTAAACATATGAATGAAATGGGAGGATGACTAAAAAACAGTTCATTACCATCCCCCTCATGTTTCCCCAGAAGACTAATCAGGAACATACAGTATAGTGTAATATCATGGATTATGTATTTTACATAATTTATTCCATATCACCTCCTAGGATGAGGTAATGAGTCTTCATATTGTTCATTAGTTATTCATTAATCTACTGAAGAGATGTTTCTATAGATAAGTGGATTCCCTTTAATTGAGACTTTATGAGCTCTGCATTTCCCTGACTATGTAGTGGGATAAAATAGTCATCAGACATATATTTAGAAAGTGTTTGCATTATTCATAAGCACCATATTAGAAATATGGAATAATATGAAATATATTTTTATTGCATTTGAAAAAATTCTGAAGTAGACAGTGAAGCAGAAAGTCACATGACATGATTATCCCAAAATGATGATCAATGTCTTCAGTAGAGAGAAGCATCAGCTGTCTGTAAATATCATATATAAGATTAGCAGACACTACTTACCAAACTTCAAAGTTAAACAACTTAAAGCAAAGTACAGGCATAAAAGTAAAACAGCAACAGAACTGATGGATCTCTATCAAGACTTTTTCAGACATGATTGATTTATACAGGTGAATCAGGGCATCATCAATCTCCTCAGCAAGAGGCAGCGAGATTTTCAAGGAGCTCTCGAAGTTTATTATCAAGGGCTTTACTTTTTTTTCAACAATTTTTATCCACGGATAAAGAGGACAGACATAAAGAAGAGATACATAACCTAAATAGAAATGGTTTGAAGTAACAGAATGGTTAAAGATAAAAAGTCTAAGACGCAGTATAACCTTACCACAGAGCATTAACGATGCTTCAGAGATTGATACTTCTAAAGGTATTGAATGGTCTCTGACAAAAACCTTCCATTAACATCCACCTTTGTGTCTTCTTTAACAATAAACCTACTTAAACAAGAGATCTAATCTATAGAAGTGAGATTAAAAAACGATTCACAGTATTTGCCTCATGTTGCAGTGAATGAACCTATAAACAAGTTTAAAATCTTCCAAATCTTTTGGGGGCTGGTTTAGCTCAGCCTGTGTACAGAGGCTATTATCCACTTGACACTGGTAGCAGGTCAGACTCCCAATCCTCAAGCTGTTTTATGGGTGTCATCCCCGACTCCCTCTCCTCCCACATTTACTGTCACTATTCTAAAGCTAAAATGAAACAGCATAATTATAAGCAAAGGGGAACATGTCAGTTTGTCTTTCCCTTGATTATTACTGTAATAAAATCAAATTAATTTATTTATAGAACCAGTCATCTCATATCTTTAGTTTGCCTCAGGGGAGCTTAACTGTTTCTGCAAAATTAGGGAAACTGAAAGCATCTCTTAGCCTGAGTCTGTAAAAATAGAAACAATAACTTTTTATTTAGCATGAGAGTGATATATGGAGGGAGTCTGCCCTGAGCCACAGAGATTGTCTTTTTATTTCCTGCTCTGGGATTATTATATAATATGATATAAAAACATGTCTCATCTTCCATATATAGAACAGTGTATAATTTAAATCTACATTTCAGTCTGATAATAGGGTCGACAGTTTATCACAGCGCTGACCCCTGCTGATTAGGGTGAAAGTTCTTGCTACAGGCTCTGTACGAGTGGCCATTACCCCTAACCTGTCTCTGTCTGCTTTCTTGATGAATGATGACAGAGATGGAAGGTTTTCTAACTAATGAGACTCAATCATAGACATTTAAGGAGGTTATTCTAAGAGGGACAAGCATGAGACTGGAAAGACGCTGATTTTAAATGTTTGCATTATTAGGGAAGAAGATTACAAATACAAATCCTTTTTATGCAAATGTATAACTTAAACTAGAAAGAAAATGTGTGGAAAAGAATGTACAGACAAGCAATTTAGAGTTAATAATCATCACATCTATGGTCTAATTCTCATTATTAAACTTGAAAGGCAGCTGTTCGCTGTTCGATCCTTCAATACGCTTTGTTGTCATGCCAAAATAGTTTTGCTGGATTTGCAGTTTCATGTAAAATAAATACTTTTACCCCTTAATACAATTTCTAGAATTCTTTTTTTTTTTTTTACTTATAAAGCATGAACTTTTAAAGCCCCAACATCTTTATACAGGTGAGGTTGTTGCATCTTAACTTGAATTCTTAGAGTGAACTCCAATAATCATCTAACTATAGTCATCTCAGTAGAGCTCCATGTGCTGCAGATACAGCAGGCTTCTTTCTTTTACCGTGATAGAATACTGATCTGGGAGGTTGTCGATATATAAAAGCTTTAAGGAGCAGACGAGATACTTTATTGATTTTCTTAAAAACAAAAAGCAACATTACTTTCAGATGTTTCTCTAACATCTGTTGCTTTGAGCCCCTCGGTCTCCAAATGAACTTAAAGCTGGGGAAGAAAAAATATTTTTGAAACCAGTAAGAGTAATCCAGATTCTGAAAGAATCCAACCCTTAAAAGAAACACACATCTTCTCTGCTGAACACTTGAATGTTAACTGCCTAACTTCTGGAAGTTATGAAAGTACCATTTACTCATGTAGTGTGCAATAAACAGTGACTGTGGTCAAACTAAATAAGAACATAGAATAGACTAAATCAAAAAATCAAAAAATAAAATTTAAATGATATTCGAAACAAAAAAGGCAACATGTCTATAATTTCCATGAGGGATGTGAGGCTAAGGAAATGTATGCATGTGTTAATAAACTCATGACAACAACAATGTCTTCACAGTTGATGTAGAGGGATCCACATGGATTCATGCAGACAGCAAACCAAAGATCATATCGGTGATAGAGCAGGATGTTTAGGTTGTTTAGTTTTTTTATTACTTAGCCTGCAGCTCTAAAACTCTCTATTACAGAAACTGTTTAAGAAAAAAAAATACAGAATACAGGAATCTTTCTTTCCGAGAGAGCATCTGGTTCTTGATGACGCAGGTACCTTCTTATGCTTGAAATATTTCTGTCAGTTTGCATCATGAGACATATTCCTCTGCTGTAGTTCTAGTAACAGCATCCATCCTTTATGTCACTGTCATTATCTTTAAGATGACATGTGCTAATGGATGACTGAAGATGTTTCCAACTTTCTTACATTTCAAGAATTCACTCTGTAATTTCTGTCAACGTGTCAAAAGTGTCACATATGAACTATAGAACATAGAGCTATGAGCCTGTCCATAATCCAAAAAAAAATTCCACTTTATAAACTGTACATATAGTACTTGAATTTTAAATGGTAAGTTAGATAACAAGTGTTGTAGGAAAACAGCTCTTTGCTGCATTTGTTAAACTTGCCTGCTAAAATTCTTCTTTTGGTGCTGAGGGCTAAAACTTGAACCTTGACCTTTTTCACCTTTGATACAAGTCACTGGGCAGCAATGGAAGTCAAGTCAAGTCACATTTATTTATAAAAGCACATTTAAAAACAGCAGCAGCTGACCAAAGTGCTGTACAATGCATCAAAGAAACAGTTTACAGGGGATTACAACATATACAAAAAACATGAAATAAAATATGAGAGGAGAGATAAATAGAAGAGATAATGAAAGCAATAACTGGAATATGAAAGAACCGTCTATTCAGGACCAGAGGACTCAAATGCTAAAACATTAAAATATGTCTTTAGAAGGGACTTAAAAGAGCCAGTAGAGGATGCAGACCTGATGGGAAGAGGGAGGCTGTTCCACAGTTTTGGAAGACGGAATAAGAAGTGTGAATTCAGAAACTATTACTTATACTTACTATTTAGTGTCAATGAGGTAGTCAAAATGAAGTCAAATGAGGTATTTTGAAGGGAGCAAAAGACCCATCAAAGTACTGGTCAGGGTCGAAAGATAAGTCAAAGAAGAACAGGAGTTACAGGAGACAGTGGATCATTTACTGTGTGAAGCACTTCAACTAAATAAACCTGAAATACATATTTTGTTCAATATGAGATACCAAATGAAGAGAGCTCAATTAAATCTAGATATTCAATTTATTCAATATATAATCCGGAACTACTACATTTTTTTTTGTATTGGTAAAAACAAGCAAACAAGAATGAAATACAAGAACTCAACAACTTTGACAAAATATACAATTCCCCAAAATAAGAAGAATCTTACCCAAAGGAAATGTGTGGCATGGTTTTGAATTTGTATGCTGTGAAATATAAACACTTTTGAATGATAAGAATATTAAACATGCTCTATTTCTATGAGCACATCCCTGACAGCTTATAAACTTCAATAAGTCAAGCTTGTGTCAAGTTGCTCCTGGATTACCTTACAGGACATAAAACTGAAATTTCTTTCCATCACTCAGAAATAATGACCCAGGCGTTTATATTAGAGGAAAGCACCAGACGACAGGATGTGTAGCAGTGACGTGTCTTTTGGCAGCTAATTTGCATCCTTAGTTCCCATTTTAAAACTAAATGTAGCCTCTCTCTTTCACATGCATAATGTAAGTCGTTTTGCAGCTATGTGAATTAGACATCGTAATTAATTTCCAAGCACCATCATCCCAAACAAGTGCCGGGGGTTACAGAATTTCCATGAATCATCCTTTTGAGAGCACAATTTGAGCTTTTTCCCTCGGGTAATTCAAACTGTATAATTGATTGAGTAAAGCCATTTTGACTTTGTCAGCTGCTCATAAAATATGACTGATTACAGCAATCAAGAACCAGGCAACAGGGCATTACATCCTCAACGGAAAAGGAGAGGACGTCAAGTCCAGAAGCTTCATCGACTTGGGCGTGGAGTGGCACTACATCATTGAGGAAGACGTGGAGACGCTGCATACTGACGGACCATTGCATGACCCAGTGGTGGTTCTGGTAATGATGTGTCCCTTTTTATCAACGTTTAGATTTAAATGGAGCCAATTGGCTATTTGCTTAATAATGAGCACTGTGTAAAAGAAGTAGGTCAGTCATTTAGCTCAATCTCCCCAGTCTCATTTTAGCATCACTATCTGTTAGATTTGAATGAACAAAACTCATGAATTGACTAGTGATAGAGCAATCAACGTTGACTCTACAATGAAGCCAGATTTGAGTGACTTTTGATGGATGAGCAGGCCCTGAACTTGTATTGGAGACGTCAGATTTTTAAATTACTGAGATGTAAAACTAACAAGGCACCACTTAGCATCATCTATATATGACAGAAATATGACTTCAAAGTATGGAAAAGTCCCAGTATACATAGTTTTCTTGAAATTTAGAGTATTAAAAAATATATATTTTAAAGAAATGCGTTTTTGGTAGGAAATCAAAGACATGGAACAAAAGTTTAAAGCAATAAGGTCAAAGCTCTTGGAGGGTATTAGTAGTCAAATAGCAGCCCCTCTGAACGTTGGGGGTCTTTTTCCTGCGGAGGCCTGAAATAGTTCTTGAAGGATCCATTAATCAATCCTGGTAGTCTTCTAAGCATGGGTGAACTTAGTCTGACATTGAAAGAAAGGACTTGATCTCAGTCATAAATAAAAAATGGTTGCTCCACACAAGTTACTTGAGCATCTAATGGATGGTCTTAAACAAAGCTTCACCAAGCTTGCATGCCTTTTACCTCACATTTATCAATTTACTGCCGGGTAACACAAAAGATTAATGATTCCAGTGCTAGGACTGGAAGGAGAACTTAAACAGGTATCTGAATGGAAATAATTCAATTGGAGGACATTCATTACGACCTAAAGAATGACAAAGACCTATATGGAGGACACTTCTGTAACACCAAGCCTTCTTAGGACACAAAGCTACGTGCCATCAGTATGATATAATATAAAAGTGCGGTTTCCCTCAATGGGTCTTACATGCTGACTATGAAAATGGACCCAATATGAGTCAATGGAATAAACCTTAGCTTTTCTTAATACGTTTTATTTATAGTTTGGTTTAGTTTAGTATAGTTTATATCCATCTTGATATACCGGTTGATCTTCTTTCCTTCCCTCACCTATGGTCATGAGCTGTGAGTGCCTGATAGAACAAGATCGCCGATACAAACGGCCAAAATTAGTTTTCTCCGAAGGGGGTCTGGACTTAGACTTTGAGATAGGGGGAGGAGCTCAGAGTAGAGCCGCTACTCCGTTGCATCGAAAGGAGCCAGTTGAGTATTTTCAACATGTATTTCTTCACCATCTGAGCAAACATTAAATATTTGAGGTTTAGTCATCCAATGGTAATCGGCTATAGACTAATATTTTGATCCTGTCACATATCCATTTTGAAATGAGGTGCCACATCCTTTGTGCCAACAGTTGTTGGATATTAAAGGTCCCATATTATGCTTTTTCTGGTTTTATATGCCCTTTAGTGTGTTTTCCAAGTGTCCTGTGCATGTTTAGGCACATCTATGTGCAAAAATTCAAAGTCCGTGGAAACGCGGCTTCTCCTACCTCCTCCTGTTAGCTGTAGCATTAGCTGCATGTAAAACTTGGTTCTAGTCCCCCTCGATAAAATTTTTTGTCAGTGCAGCGTCATTGTCAGTGTGAGATCACTGATCTAAGCCCATTGGCTCGTTGTGGCAAGCCCTGCAGCTCATGTTGAAATTTCCGAGAAGCGTGCTGAGCAACTGACCAATAACGACAGAGCAGATCGGCAGACCAATCAGAGCAGACTTGGCCCACGTGGGGTCTAACAGTGTGGGCTCAACAGAGTGCAGCTGACGGACTCAGAGCGTAGAGGGAGCAAGGAGGAGCAGTACATGAAAACAGACACTTTTTTCAGACTTTAGCTATTGTGAACGTACAAAAGTAGGAACATAGATTAAATATACTAACCCCAAAAAGGGCATAATATGGGCTCACATTTCAACCATTATAATCGACTTCAAAATCCAAAATTACAGAAATGAGTGTAATTGATGAAAGAAAACATTCAGCTATAATTTATTTTGAATGTATCGCTTCTCTCCAGAAAGGGCTTTGTCAATTGATTCTTTAACCAGACAAAGGCCAGCTATGATAAGTATTCTATTTCCTAAAAGGGCTTTTAAATCAATTAATAATCTCATGCTGATGAAAACTTAACTAGAGGATGAAATGGAGCTAATGCTCAAAAGACGTATACATTTTCAGCTTGCATGCTGTTAATCCAGCTTTAAAAAGCACCATCTGTCTTCTCCTAAAGGATAACAACTATTTTCTAAGTTCCGCCAGGTCCACACTAAATGAATTCTAAACACAACCCACATCAAACAGACGCTGAAAGCAATAACCCATTGGATCTTGTTTTGCAACAACTTCTAACATGGTGTAGAAGGAGAAGTTATAATTTTTTCTTTTATCAACTCTTTCAGTGAAAAGATAGGAAGAAACTTTGAAAATGTTTCTTAGTCAATCTTAACAACTCACGAAAATACTGAGTTTAAAGAGTAACTAAACCCTAAAACCACTTTTTTCAACTATAAACCTCTGTATTTGAGTAGTAAGTAGTGTTGTGGATCAATTCAAGTCCAAATCTCGACATTTGAGTACAAAGTATTGAAATTTGAAATATTGTGTTAGAAATGTGCATAGTGTCGGCTGTGTGGAGTGAATGCCTACGTCACCAAATCTATAAAATCCTTAATATATCTAAATCTAAAAAAAAATAGCAGACAAAATCAGGGAGTAACACATTTGTGTTGACCTGACCATAATGGGTTCTGTATTATCTTGTGCATGAACTCCTATTATCTGATAATTTCCTGAGCTGTGTTTATGAAAGATCGTTGTTGTTTCTCTTGAGACTGAAATTTGCAAATATATAGCATCAGATAATAATGATAATATGTTCTCTTGTATTTACCTCTTCATATGCAGATTGTACCCAAGGACAATGAAACACGGTCCACTTTAATGTACAAGTACATCATCCATGAAGATTCAGTGCCTGTGAACAACAACAATGTCATCCAGGAGGAGACGTATGAGTGGGCTCTCAAGAGCTGGTCTCCTTGTTCCAAGCCATGTGCTGGAGGTAATAATACATTTGAAAGTCTAATAAGAAGAGAGCACAGAGGAATACTGGGTTTCATCTTATACATGTACTATACTTTATAAAATTATAATATATATATATATATATATATATATATATATATATATATTTCTGTTGTAATTAGGCAGCCTTCAAATATAGAAAGTGAAAGTCAAATTAATGCTGTCCAGTCTGAGGAAAAAATCAAAAGAATGAAACAAAAGTTTGAAAAATGATTTTATGTTGACAGACTATTTACTGGCCCTTGTGTGTTTTAGACAGTTAGTTTGGATAGGCTGAATTTATCATTCAAGCAGAGTGTTTCTCATTGATTTTGGCAGCTAATGTACAGAAACTGTTTCCCACTCAGTCGGAGACAGCAGATTAAAGTGAAGTTTGATGTTGTTAAAGCATAGTACAGCTGCCTCTTCCCCCATGCTAAAAATAAAACCCAGAAATTGACCATCTTTTCTTTTAAAAGGAACCCATCCTTTATGACCAAGGAAAAAAGGCCAGACAGCTAAAAAATAAATGGTACCTGTGTTTGTATGACAGCATGCCTGGTGTTTTTCATTAAGTTTTCTTTTCAACAATACAAGCTAAACTGAAGTCATGTGCGTCTGAAAATGTCATATTAGCATTTAAATCCGAAACCTTCAGGAAAAGGAACAGAATACAGAAAAAAAGAGAAACTGTGAGCAGGTGCCTGCTTTTTAAAATGATTAAAATGTAATCTCCATTTATTCCTACAGGTTTCAGGGTCTCTTTATACGGATTATACAGCAATTAAAAGAAATGTTGACTTCTTTCTCAGGGTTCCAGTACACGAAGTACGGTTGTCGAAAGAAAGGAGACACAAAAATGATCCATCGAGGCTACTGCGATGCCAACAAGAAACCAAAACCCATCCGCAGAATGTGCAATCTCCAGGACTGCACACAGCCTCAGTGAGTACAGTCTCCTTCACCTCCCTCTCAGGAGGAGGCATTTAAAACTTTAAAATATCAACGTATGTGCGGTAACTGTCAAGGTTGCAATAGTGGAAATGATAAGGTTTCCTGTCCAAAACTTTGACTGCTTTTGGAAGACCAGGTTGTAAAACAGTATGGTATGTGAGAATTTGTATTTTTTATTTTTTTTGTATTCTTTATTATTGAGGGAAATTGAGGTTTTACACTCTGTTGTTGAGATACATGCTTCTCACACACATAGGTTCGAATCACACGCATGCATAAACAGGACCTGTGGCCATGAATAAGTGGAGAGATCTCAGAGTGGGGCTTCTGCACACTGCTACGCAAGGAGCGCACCAGAGTGGTTGGGGTTCAGTGCCTTGCTCAAGGGCATCTCGGGAGTACTCGGGAAGTGCCCTGGCACCTCTCCAGTTACCAGAACAACTTAGACTGAGCTACTGCCGCCCAAAGACACAATTTGTCCCTTGAAAATCCCAGAACTGATCCTATAAGACAAGCATCATGACTAATATTCTCTGTATAGAGTGTACACACAACCCCCCTGTCCATCCTCTCGGCACTGGACCCAGCAATTGAGTTTTCAAGATAACCCTGCACTTCTGGGGGGGACATGTGGATGTGATAAAATAAAAATATAGTACTCAGCAGAGGTCTTCCCTTTCACACCCCGTTCACACATTAGCTCTCGCAGCTTGAGGCTCTCTGGTGTTGAGCAGGTCAATTACACACTCAGCTCTAATTGGACAGGTATTCTTTCCCATTCACAAAACGACTGGAGCACAAGCAATGTTGTTCATTTCCAGAGAGTTGTTTTTCCACTCATTTTTTCAGGTCCCACAGTATTTTGGGCATCAAAGTAAGAGTGATCGATTATCTCAGAGTTAGCAGTGGCATGTGCCAAAGGAGATTTGCATAAAGGTCCATCTTATTGAACCTTTCTCATCTTTCAAAAACTCTCCTTGCTTTCTGAATACTCTTATCTTTTAAAATAGCATTTTCATTTGTACTAGAGGTTTTTTGTCAGCGATCCAAATAATACGTCTATTTTTACTCTAATTTAAAGGCACAGTATGTAAATTCCACCGGCAAGGGGCTCTTGACCAAACAATAACAAAAGATGTTGCCAGGCTGGCGGGTAATCATGTGAGTGATTCTCTCTGATACTCCCCTCCCACCTCCGATAACAACATTCATGACGAACGGGCGAAACAGACCTGAGGAAGAAAATATGTTTGCTGACAATCCAAGTATATTTTACATGATGTTTTTATCACAGCAGCACATACCTCTGGCAGGCGCCTTCGACACATCAAGGCGAACACAGAAAGACTCAAAGCTTCTTTCCTCAGGCTGTCCGGACTGTTAACACTCTCCTCAGTTAAAAACAAAACAGAACTGTGATTACATGATGCACACACACCACACATTCCAATCTGCACATTGCACTTTGACACCCTGGACACTTTACACACTGACACTTTACACTGTTTACATTATTCTATATATGCAAATATTTATTTTTTAAATTTTACATTATATGCTATTTTACTGTATATATGTGTATTAGTAATTTGAGTGTTTATTGCATGGCCTTGCGGAACAGTCTTCACATTTCACTGCACATCTGTATGGGCCTGTGACAGATGAAAGTCTTGAAATCTTGATAACAGCTTACAGTCCGGCAGCTTTCAGTTGCAGTTCCTGCTTCCTTATGCAGCTGCAACATCTGGTGTTTCCATGGCAACGATAACACGTCGTATTGGACCCAGGGCACACATAACTGTTGAAAAAATTAGAGGTAATGTGGACTAATAAATATATAGTTAATTTATGATTCTTGTGTAAAAAATCTACTCATTACACATTTAGGATTAAAAACTTGGTTTTATGTATTCTTCTTTGATTACACTTTCACAAATTAGCACAGATTAAAAACGACTTGAAACAACTGTCTGAAAGTAAACTAAGTGCATCGGCGTTTAACTTTTCCAAGAACAAATAAAGCTTCACATCTTCCCACTGATCACAGCACGTTTTTTACAATGTGTCGCCTTAAAGCTTCTGTACCATGTGTGCCTGTTCAGGTGTACTTTTCATCAATAATTCATTTCAGTGTCACTTGGTAGACGAGTAATGAGTTGTGTCGCAAGAGAGCCATCATTTCAGCCTGCTGTGAATTTGAACAAATCATTGAATAGTGTCGAAAGCTGGATGAGAGGAAATAAAAAGTTCCCCTCAGGGTGTAAACACACTATTTTAACGTTTGCAGGGGTGTGAGAGCAAGAGAGAGAGAGAGAGAGAGAGAGAGAGAGAGAGAGAGAGAGAGAAAATAGCAAGCTGTGTCAAAATACAGGGGCATGACAGAAAAAAGCCTGCAGGTGAAAGACATGGTGGTTTGAAAGAAAAAGATGCATAAGCTGTTCGTGGTGGAGGCTAGAAAACCACCAACATGACCGGGAAGTTTAACAGAAGCAGCCCTTGAAAAACTGCAGCCAAAAAGCATCCATCCAAATCTCACAGCTGTATGACGCTGTTCCTTTAAGCCAACAACAACACAACGATGATGGGACGCATTAAGCTAAAGACGTCACAGTGAGCTCAAGTTTACTCACCGCCTGTTCTGTTCAGCTTTGAACCACAGGGAGGGAGAGAGCGGTGAGTGAGGTGAGAGATAAAAGCTGCAGTGATCTGAGGATGGATAAAACACTCATTCTGCTGTTTAGGAAACAGTTTGTATTTATTTCTCAACTACTGATAGATGTTAAATCAATCAGATATCTCAGGGGTTTAAATTGATGACATACTGGAATAAAAGTTTTGTTTTAAAATAACTAGGCCTTCTGCATCTTAATACAAATAAACTTTATTTAGTTTAAAGCGGTTCTCGTGAGACTTTTCTGGCTGTTATCAATGCTAGCTCCATGGCTCTAGAGATGAGCTCACCACACCTTTGATCAATGCTAAAATACCACTGGAAGGATTCACTTGTAATTCAAAGTTATTCACGCTGCCCAGTGAAGGAACCCTGGAGAACTTTGGCAATGGCTGACTTTCTTTGAAGTGTCACTAGCCAGTCAAACTATTCACTTAGAAGTGGATTATCTCAACATCTACTGTGTGGATTTGCTCAAAACTTGGCAGTCGTGCATGGTTTTCAGATAATGACTGGATGACTTGTGTGTGTCGTCATCTTAGTTTTTGGATTCTTTATGGTTGTGGTTGAAATGTCTGACCAACGTTGGGATAGATTGCCATGAAAATTGTTGTGGACATTCATAACCACCAGAAGGGAAACTGTAACAGATTGGGTGGTCCCCACACCTTTTTACTCTAACATGATACAAAATATTAGCTTGTAACACTCTAAATGTTGAAGTATTCAATAACAGGGTGTTATCGGTGTTATACACCTGCATCATCATGGATGGACATGATGTGAGTTCATCAGCATGTCACCAATTTTCCAATCTTAACATTTCACCCCTTCACATATTTGCTTCATAATTATACAATTTGTATCAAAAATAATTCCACAAATAACTTATCTTTGTTACTTCAGGCTCCCTGATTCACATTTAGATTGGGTCATAAAGTTTTGGTTTGGACGCCCAATTGCAACCAACTTCAGAGGTAATCCATTTTTCAGCAGAGATTTGACAATTATTCATTAGAGAGTTGAAAAGATTGTTATTTTGTTAGTTGTGCTTTTGCTATTATTTTTGGTTTCCATCTATTTTCGCATAGCAGTTGTCCATTGGCCAAGTAAAGACTTGTTTATGTAACAAGTCGTCTTGTTCTTTGTGCACTTGATGAACTTTTACCTTCTTTATTACTAAAATAAAATGTAATTTGGACTATATAGCCTGGTGGGGCTACCGACTCTCTGAGAACTTTCTCCTTTTCTTCTTCTTCTCATTTGACCGACTTTGACTGACTTTCTAATTTTGCTCCCTAACTTGGTCAGAGTGAGGGAGACAGATCTTTGAACAGAAAGGCGAATTCCCTCAAAAGCTGGCCTGGATTTTCTTTTTATTCTTTTCATTTCCAGGCTCCCTACCTTGCTTCATGACTTGAAGTGTCTCTCCTTACTTTAGTTTCCGAGAGGACTGGGATTTCGGGCAAACATAAGAAGGCAGAGGAGACAGAGGAGATAAGAAATGTCAGGAAGGAAATTTAGGATGGTGTGCCTGCAAAAGATAAGAGTCCAGCACTGATGTTTAAGAATAATATACAATTTTCAGTGCACAATTGTATGTTAACGCTTAATCAATCCCTAAATCTGCTACCTCTTGTTAAAATAATTCTGCATTGAGGTAGCATAAAGGATTTAGATCCTTAAACACTCCACAAATGTGTTTACTCTGTGAGTGAAATAATTTGATAACTCAGTAATGCTTTTAAAAACGATTGTGCAAACACATTAAACCTCTCGAACAACTCAGTACAATGGGTGAAAGATCACAAAATACTCGCAATTTCTTTTCAAGGTTTCTTCTTTTAGAAAAGCCAGCAGCACAGAAAAGTTCTACCAACAGATAAAGTTGTTCAGTCCTAGCAGTAGTTCTTTCACTTTGGTTAATGCCTGTGAATGCTTAATGTTGGTTTAAATGGTAAATGGACTTGAGCTTGTATAGTGTTAGGTGGGGGTTATTTCTGTAGTAGATGGACAATTATGAAAACGTGAAACAGACTGTGGATCATCTTAGATTTATTCAGCCATGGTCAGACAACACAGAAACACAACACACATGGCTGACAAAGTGCAGACCATCGCTGACCCATGCTGACCAAGATCTCACAATCATTGACAATCATGGGCAAAGTGGCCATCATGGGCAAAATGGCAAAATGGCCAAGTCTTCATCACACAGTGTTGCTTATATTCTGCTAGAAGGTACAGCCCACAAATTCCTTTCTATTTGGGTACATCACTATAAAACAATAAAGATGACATGACACTGGTTTGTATACGT